GGATTTTGAAAAAGATGGGTAGTGTTTAAATATGCAATATTTTACTAATAATTCCGTTGAATGATTATTACATTTCTGTATGAGTTTTGAAGTTTTGTTCATATTTCAGACCTATCTGGTTGTACATGTACATGTTTTCTTTAAAGAGGTGTGAGTTGATCATGAGTTTTGTGTCCTACATGCAACTGAAAAGTGGTAAATGGTGAATTTATTACAATTAAGTAAATGTTCATATAGTTTTTCTGGATTTTCTTTTCTTTTTGCATTTTTAAGATGTATGTAATGATCTATTGAGTTTAGTAAATGAACAAAATCCTAATTTGAGTAAAGTGCTGGCCCTGAAGTCATGGGTATTTTGGAAACATTGTCTGAAATGGGCTCAACACACGAGTCAGGCAAAGTCACACTCATCAAATACTTTGAGCCCCGCAGGAAAATCGAATATAAGAGGTTCATATTTCGTGAGGCCAAGCAGCTGCACACTGAAACTTCCGCAACTCGTCTCCAGCAGCTTGCCAAAAGATGGGAGTTCCAAGACTGAGACATAGAAGTGAAATCTCAGATCACTCACGGCTGTCCATCATCTAAGTTGCATTGCTCTGCCCCCCGCGAGTCTGAGCTAATGCTGACCAAATTGCTATTACACAACTCTTCCGGCAGTAAACTCTGCTAACTTTGTCTATTTTATTTTTCAAGAACTTCATTGGCCAGAGGTAACTAGACAGTAACCTGGTCACCGGTTCAATGCCTTGAGATTAAAAATTACTATCAAACCCCAAATGCCAACCATAGGCTGACGAATGATGACGAAGGATTCTAGAGCCGTTAGGAGAAAAGAACTTCACAAGTACACTTTTCAAAGCCAGAGAGTGTATCTTTTATGCCAAACGTTTCAATGTAAGGAGCGCCCAGAATCCTAAGCTGGTTGTATGGCAGATAGTACTCCCTCTTGACAAGTTCTTTCAGTATATGGGCTCTGTTTGTTTCATGCGGATCCAGATCATGATCAGTGCTCTGACATTGGTTCACTGATACCAGATGCTACCTAATGGGCAAAGCAAACCAGTTTTGGGATCACTGTTTGAGATTCAGATCCATGCGAAACAAACAGGCCCTATGTGTAACAGTAGTGAACAAACAGACATGTTTGAATGACTACAACAGGAAAGACTGATGCTAATACGTTTACACCTTACAAACATCCATAATAAAACTGTCCAACCCCACACCGACTGTCAAAGATTGAGCTAAAGAGGTTGATCCAATGGGTATGTGGCTCAAATATGACCTGCATGCACGCCAGGTCACAAGTGATGTGCTCTGTGCTTTGAATAAGCTGATGGCCTATTAAGGGCCTTATATGAACAAACACTCGTGAAGATACTCTGTCATAAGGTCCTAACAGGTGCACACAGTGGCATTCTTGAGTCTGAGTTAAAGCAGCATCTAGACAACCTGGAAATCTTTGAGGATGAGACCCTAGAATAAGCACCTAGTAAAACTGTTGCTCAACTCCAGCAGTAACTAATGACCATCCTTTTGACCACACCCACTGCCTACAAGAGCCTCAAAACCAAAATGTTCCAAAGTTTCCAAGGGAGCATGCCATGCTTTCTCAACATTTGATCATAGCTGGAATGACGTCATGACGTTTAGGAGAGACAAATTAAGCATCTCTGAGAACGCAGTGTAGGAAAGTGCAAAAGAACACAAATCATTGGAGTGCTTGTTATTTAAGAAAAATGTTTAGAGGAAAATTGTTCATTGGAGTGCCCAGCACCCAGACAGCTTGATGCTCAAAAGTCTAACAATTGGGAAGAAACATGGAGATTCAGTGGACTGAGGAGTATATGTAAGAAATTTAAGTAACTTGAGTAATTTGAGAAACTGCATACATTGATGCCTGTTTTAACAGTTAAACCATATGAAGGATTCCCAAAGTGCACCTAGATGTAATTCAAGGGGCATCTAAGATGCAAGTACACCTGTTCGAAGAACACCAGATGAAGGTGTTTTCTGTGTTCACAATATTATTTACACTATTGTCGATGTCTGGAAGTTGAGTTTATAATCATACTGCATCAAATGATTAAATTGAAATGTTGTGGATCTCGAATGTAATTCTCGGCTTTATGAACGGTTTTGGTATCATCAGCTGGTGTTATATTTCTGTGAAACAGATTTCTTGTCTTTTCCTCAGCTAAAGTCACTTGCAATCAAGACCAGCTACTTTGGTAGCGCCAGTGGGGGCAATAACAATATTCCTGGCATCACTAGAATGCACAAGAGGCAGATTCCAACCTCCTCCTTGGCTAGTTCTTTTTCGGGTTATGAAAACCATATGTATCTGTCATCTCTGACATGCCCCATAGGTAAGGAGGGATCCAGTGGCTTGACTGTGGCGTTGAAGCGGTAGTTGTGGATGACAGTGATTTCTGGTTTACCGGCGCACAGGCCCTTGGTCACGTAGCTAGGGAGCTCCAACTGGGTCAGGTTGCTGGTGTAATAGCCAGCGATGGCATTGAAGATCTGACAGGAAAACCGGTACAGTTTTACTTATGGTGAGTTGGTGAAACGGTATAAATATATGATTTGCAAAATTATGAAATCATTATCATCGAGAAGGGCTGTGGAGGAAGGATGAATTGAGTAGGTTAACTACTTCCTGCCAGGGATTCCGGATCCAGACACGTATGCTTTATATGTTGGCCGGGGTCTCCAAACTCGGACAAAGGGAACAGGGCCTTGTAACAAAAGACCATTCTCGGAACAAAAAACCAGACTGCTGGGCATTACCAACATTTTCTCACTCTCAAAAGTGGAGAAAATTCAGCCTTATTTTGAAACAGCATACCACGGTTTGGGGCATTTAGAGCGAGCAGATTACCACCGGGGATAAAAGCACTCAATCACCGCAGCGATGAGCCATACAGCACCGCTGCATGCTAATCTAGCCCCTATTGAAAAGAGGTCACCAGCGCACTGAGCCAGGTTCATGAACAAAAGAAAGTTTTATAACACTGCAAGCTCTGAGCTCTTTTTACAAGGCTGCAGGCCTGGCTGAAATACTCAGGCGTCAGCACATTTTGTCAGTCAGGCTAGAGTGGCACCAGACAGTCCTTCACGTGTATGTAAATGAAGATAGGAATTTTAAAGAATTTTGAAACAGAAAAAAATGATAATTATCCCAGACCAGCATCATCTACATTGATAACTGCCCCCGGGCAGCAAGTAGTTAAATGGGGGGGGGGAGATCAAGTGACTCAAAATATTGTGCATCACCAAGTGCTTCATGGAGACATGATTTCTACTTGCAGTATTAAGCTGCTTTTAATGATCCAAGTTACATTGTTTATGTTTGGCATAATAAATATCGTTGATGCATTCGTAAGCCTCATAAAAGAACTTGTTTTTTGCAAAGACAATTCCAACTTAACCAAAAGCCGGCCTGCAAAAATATAAATGATGGATGCCTTGTTTTGGCCTTCTTGTGTCTACCTTGGAAGCCTTGCTAAAATGAATAGAGGTTGTGCATGGCAGTCGTCTTTCCAGTAACTGCTTTTGTTTTGGAAGGATAGCAGAAAAGGTCTTACTCATTTGTATCCCTGTTGAACAAAAGCTCTTACCTGAAAAATGACTGCCGTGCACAACCTCTATACTGTTCACTACACAATTCTTGCCTTGTCTCCAAAATACACAGAGAAAAAAGATTTGTAGAAAAAAGAATGTTTAAAAACATTCCAAATGTCCCAATTTGAAAGAACTACATACCATCTGAGTTAGAGAAATCCAAAAGGGAAATGGCAGGGTTTGCAAACAAAGACTACTTGAGATACAGCTATACAAAAAAATTGCTTTATGCTGGAGAAATCTGAGAAAACTTATACCTACCTTTTCTGCATTGTAAACTTCCACCAAACTGTTGTACATCGGCCATTTGGGATCACGGATGAACTTGCTGCTGTTGACTTTGCCCGTGCTGAACTGAATGATTCCCCATCTGAAATATATAGGTACATTATACATATCCTTACATGAAATTTCATTTTGTGCGATATTTCATTTCATTGCATTTCATTTCAGTGCTATTTTTTGTTCCCTCAAAGCAGATAGACCAACACTGCATTCCAGAAAAGCAAGTTTGAATCAGTTTTTGCTCAATTTTCTTTATCCCTTCTGCAAACCATTTAAACCTTAGCATAGTCACTGTTTCTGTGGTTTACATGATAACCACGGAACAAAACACAATACTCTCACCTTTCAGGAAGATGCATGTTGATGACATGCTGTGGCGACCACACCCAATTATCCTCAGGTAAACCAGGCACCTACAATGTACATGGTAACGCAAACCAAGAACTCTCAGTACCAGACAAACAAGAAAAATAACACTGTAAATCAAAAGGTGTGTGACGGGAAAGTCGTGGGAGAAGACAGAAGAGTAAAATCATGCATACCATAAGTATGAAATTAAACGCAAGCTCTTTTGTCTAGAAATGATACACAGTTCAGTTGAAACACACACAAGAAAATCACGAAGTGGTAATATAATTACATGCATGCATGACTAAGGAGCTCAGTGCAGATATGGCAGACCGTGCTTTGTAACTAGTCAACAGTACAACAAGAGCACATAAGACAAAAGTTGCCTCGGAAACATTCAAGATGGGACATTATACAGAAGCCCTCAGGTAAACTCAAGTTGTACGGACATTAGAATCTAACTGACCTTTTCATAATGTCCATTGACATTTCTCACATGCCACTCCACCCTGTGAAGAGAAAAATGGCAAAGGTGTAATGTTTGCACAAAGCAGTACAATCAACCAAATCTGCACACAAATGCTATAACCATTTCCAGAATCTTGACCACCCCGTCACTGCTTTATTCTAACTGATGTCTAACATCATACATTACTATTTGACCCAATTTTATTAACCCCTTCACTCTGGAGGACTGCTACTACGGCACCATTGTGTGAGGATCAGTGCATACCACGCATACAGTCTATTCACCACGCAGCTGCTGCTTCAATGGGTCCTGCTGCTGGACAAAGCCCTCCATTCAAGGCATACCACAGCCCAGCAGGCACGGTCAAAATAATCCCACCGTGAAGGGGTTAAACTGGGAATAAGGCCATGTTGATAACATTTCCCAAGTTGGCTCTGCTTGAGTGCCATTTACATTTTAACAAATTTCAATTTCAAATGCAGCATTTTGAAAGAAAACAGTAAAGTTCTTTGTGAATGTGAAACATCCCAGTGGCTACGAAATGATTAGATATGGTCAGGGGAAAAGAAAAGGTAGTCCCCCCTTCCCTTGATAACAAAGAGTTGTTGGAAACTCAGGGCTACAGTCATGACCATCACAAGTCTATTCACAAGACATGAGGTGGACAGTGACAAAGGAATGTCTTTGTCACCTTTCATTTGAATAGCTTGTGACTTGTGACTAAACAATGGATGACTTGTCGTGGACCAGCGATTGACACGACTTCGACACTGAGCAAAACACTTTCAAAAACTCTTGCACTAACGAAATTCCAAAACTCAAGCACCTTTCAAAAGGAATTTCAGCCCCCTGAAGTATATGACCACATTGCAAATAAGAACTCACCTGCTGAAGTTGATTCTCCACTGGTCCCCATTCTTAGGTGGTGCCCTAGCCATGCTGTCATTTAATACCAGGTCTTTCAGTGGCAAGGCTAGCTCAACAGTCCAGTATGAATCTGAAACAACAAAGGAGATCATCCCTAAATATCTGATTTCCAGGAATGCGCCAAGCAATCTGGACAAAAAATGACAGCCCAGTGAGGAAAAACAAGTTTTTAATTTGTGCCAACAAGTGCTTCTGATATTATTCTGACAATACTGGAAACTATGGATTCCACTAACAAAATCTAAAAAACATTGATCTGGTTGTGAAGAGAACAGAACACGTTAACTCGATGAACTGAAATAAACCACTTTTTCTTGGCCTTGGTTACATCGTATTACGTGTTTCTGATTGCATTTACTGTCAAGCAAAGACTCAAATCACATGAAATCCTATCCTAGCGTAGGACCTTTTAAATAAGAAAAAAACTGGACTTTGATTTTATTTCTATTCTGAGGAAGAAACATGGAAAAGCACACTGATATTACTAAGCCATTACGACCAGTAAACTGTTGCAAGAGTTGATTTGTTTGAGTGATAATGTGGATAACAATCTCCTTTTTTACTACTTTACATTAAATGCCCTACCCTTGACGAGTGGATTGTTCACAGGACCATCAACATAGATGGCGCTCTTCATGGTTGGCATCTCAAAGCTGCTGTTGGGGAAGCCACCATTCATATATGGCTGAAAAGGCACAGAGAAAGAAGCAGTGCTTTTAACTAACCTGAAAGAAAACTGAACCAAGTGATGAGTCACACAAATACAAAATCACCCAATTTGTCCAAGCATATGTGTTATTGTTTAGTTGACAGTCCATCTGAATGATCTCAGGGTGAGTTTTTTAATTCCATCCGGCGGTTCCAATACATAACTGTAGTGGTTCAAAGAAAAGTTGCCGAAGAATACAAAAATGTGTATAAATTAACTTAAGTGGGGGGTCAGGCTTACTATTCCTTTCTAAAAGCCTAATGCTTTCAGAAAGTAGATTGATAGGCAACAATTTTCATTTTTTTATAGCTTTTTGAACAGATACAAAGTTTACCTGGTTCAAGATGAGGTCCCATGTGGTGTTAATGGCATTGATTTCAAACTCTTTGTACCTGTCAGGACACACAATTGAGATGGGTGTGTCCTTGTCAGTTTGCCAATTTTCTGTAAACCAATCAAAGTGCATGATCACAGTGCAATGATTGCTGAAGATGCCCCTAGTAACAGTCAGAAGCACTATGCCATCCTAAATTTCCAAATAGGTGGCCCATGTTGGTTTTTCTGCATAAAAAGAAGCACAATGCCTTTGCCAACATCAGGGGGCTGCCTGACCGTCATGATCATATATGCAGGTTCCATTTATAATCCTAATCGGAACACTGTGCCTTAAAGGCAGAAGGGATCATTTACAGCTATCCCAAAATCAACTGATTATATTAGTGTTAAGAATCCATGCTTTAGAGAGAGTAATGTCACTGGACTTCCTGTGCAGTAATTCCATCTGGTCATGTTGAAAAAAATGATCAAAGAAGTTAATTTCCACATTTCTGAATCTTCCATAAATACTAGACTCCACTGATTCTAACTTGGGTGGAATCTGTGAATAGGAGCGACAAGTTCATAGCAAGGATTTCCATATAGTAGTTTCCCTAAACTGCGTGATCACTTCATTACAAAGGCAGAACTGGCTGATTGAGAATCGTATCCGAATTCTCCTTTAGGGATAGCCTGGAGAGGGGGACCACTTCAAGCCACTTCAAACTTTTAAGCCACTTACAAGACCCAAGAATGTTGTGGATTCTCTATTATACATGCACTACTGACAGAAATACATTTCAAAATGTTGGTTGGTGTCCATCTATAGATTATCAGCAATTATTTGCTTCAAATAAAAATACACATTGATTTATTTACCAGTGTGTACTCCAATCTGGATCAGTAAACACCTGAAGGTGAAAAGGAAAATGAAAAAAAAGCAAATTTACTCAAAAAGAATTATTATTCTTGATACTCCCATATTTGTAATAAAATGCGTTCAGATAGTCTGACAAAAACCAACACTTTTAAAATGACAATTTACTCAAGTTCAAGTTAAGTTTAAATTAACCAAATTCAACCTACCTCAAAATCATTGTCTTTGAAAACTGCAAAATATGGAAAAAGGTGAACATTAATCAAAATGAGTTACTGAACTTACTGCATATTTCCAAATTTTTAACAAGACCATTCTAACCAATGAGTGACAAAAACCAACCGTACAAAACAAGATCATTCACACTTGCTCGTCTTATTTCTTCACATAATGCACATACATGTAAGCAGACATCCAGATGATCCATTGAACACTCGAGTCAACAATTTCTGAGGCATTTCAGTGATTTCAGCAAATCCATTTCGTGCTGCTTTTAGAGTAAGCTGCCTTTGCAATTTGACGGCCTTGCTCAATTCTTTTGGATGCAGCAGGGAGGTTACATAAAAACTGAATGTTGGCAATGTGCATGAACATGAAGCCAGCTACGTTTTACAGGACACTCCTGATGGCCCCCTGTAATGGCAGAAAGCACTGTGTTGGATTTTGTAAATTGTTAAGTAGCCACTGTTAGGGAATAATGGCTTTGTACAACAGTCATAAACAACAATGCTTATTTCCAATAGGTGGGGGCCGCTGCAGATGAACAATGATAGCACAAGCATGGCACAAGTTCAATCACGGACCATAATTAACCATACATGTTGTTTGAATAACTCTGATTGAATGTACGCTAGTCGACGATAGGTGGTTTAGTCTAGTCTACTATTCACTATCAGCCTATTGAGGTTGGTCGCATCGTTGATTGCAATAAATCATTTTTAATAGCAAAGTGTAGAGAGGACCAGTTATGAGAAAAATGCCAAAAAAACAGTGTGTCACAAGTACATGACAATTTTCACTTTTATTTTTGCTATTTTGCCCTTCCTGCGGCCACCTTTTTTCCCCTAAGGCCTAATGACCTGACAATGGTTGACTGGGGTCATTCACACTTCAACTTCACTGCACAAGTGCTAAGTACGTCACCAACCAACCATTAATTAACAAGTGGTCCTTGATCGAACTTGCCAGTGGTGTGTTACTGTGTCCATTTCATGGTAGATGATCAGATATCTCACAGTTCAACAACACGCGATCCTTTCTTTCCATTCTTTTGAATGAGAAATGTTCCACAAAAATGAAATGAACTCCTGCAGTATTTTTTTTAAAGCTACAATGTACATATACTTGAATGATATGACAGTGGTGGATTTGAAGAGAACCTGTGACTTTTGAAGGCATGTTGTTAAGAGAAGATTGATAATGTTGGTCATCTGCAGCCATTGAAGTACACGTATTTCATCTATATGCGGTTACCACATCAAATCTAAACAGCCTGGTTTTTTTTAACTGTGTGTTAGTCTATGTGTGTGTTGATACATGTATGAGCCCGTTCAAATGTCAGAGAAGAGTGCTTTGGAGCCTTTTGAAACTAAAAGGCAGTCATAATTAGGCTTTTTTTAAATTCTAACCAAATACCAACCCTGAGATCATGTTTCCCACTCTGCTGACAAATTCCAACCAAATGGGAGGGGATGTGCATTCTAGAGATGGCTTTGAGGAATTACTCACCAACAGAATCATGCTGAGTTTGGTTTGCAAAGACATCCGTCTCTTGCAGATAGCCGCCAATGTAAAGATAGGTGTCATCATAGCGTAGCTTGGCCCAGGTCTCAAAGCGAGGTCTGGGAAAGTCTCTTCCTTGAATGTCTGAAAGATCCCAAAAGTGATAATAGGAAAAATTAAAAAGCTCTCACACAAAAATTCCATCCTTGTTGGATCAGATCAGCAATTCAAAAAGAAACAATGACATGAACATGAAATAATCTCTCCTTAACAATTTTCTTTCACCTCTGTTTTTCATTTACTCTTACTGTCATCTAATCCTGTCATGATGTTAAATTTTCAGAAACTGGAAAAGGGTAAAGCTGTCCTGAGTGGCACACATTGGTCAGTATTTACTGTACAAATGCCAGGATCCACGTATGAAGATTACTGACCCAGCATTACTGACCCTCCTATGCTCAAGTCACTCTTTGTGTCAGTTGGTATGCAGCACCCAGATACACAGCTGTGTCACATTGTGCACTACACTATCCCTCACACTGTCACAGGAATTTCAGACTGCACTCTGAATGCTGGCATTCTTTCTGGGGACTGATTTCGTCCTTGAATAAAGGGAATTCTCAGAAAATACGTACGAGGACAGTCTCCAAGTTGTGATGTGTGCCTCAACTGTTTGAGCTCAGCTAGGCTGACGAATGTTTCTGATTTCAACAGAAAAGTTCTCTTTTCATCCTCCATGAGAAAACCTCACCATTATTGTAATCTTTGATTCCCACTGAATCCCCAAGTCATGAAAGTGGGCGCATTGGACAGTTTCCAGGTTTCAGGACTGTTATTTGGGGAATGAATTCTGAGGATTTTGACTTGGGGTATGAGCTATTTTTAGTGAAATGAATGAATAATATTGAAATTGGAAAGCCTATGGAAGGTACTTGGACTCTACAATCACCCAACCACAAAAAGAGGCGATTCGTCGAGTCCAAGTTAGTTGTAGGCCCTACTATACTACTATACTAGTGTCAAGTGATGTCCACGTCCGTGTATGGAGCTCTTCCCAAATCCAAGCATGCAAACGTAGCATGTGATATGTTTGAATACAACATCTCTTCTAATAACAAAGTTTGTGACAGAAATCCCCAACACAAGCAGCCTACCAACAAATGGCTCACTGGGTGAAACTTCAGTCCACGCTTTGTCAATCAACTTGCCGTCAATCTCAATAACTTCCCCAGGTCCAAGGCGGTACACTACGTCAGTCCGGGGCAAAGGTAAGGTTTCGCAGGTAACTGTGCATATCACTAATCTGATCTGTGAGAAAATTATGGCCAGTATGAAGATAACAATGCACACTTTCGTCGAAAGTTTGGATCTCAGGAACGAAGGAAATTTTGCCACACTGGAGGCCGCCATTATGAATAGCGCCACCAGTCGCCATCTGTGCGCTACGATTATTGATAAAACATGGGGGGGGCGGACAGCGGGGTCTGGCGTCAGCTCATTCTTTTCCTACCTCATTGTTATTTTGCAATTCGAGTTTCCTCAATTTTGTGTTTCTGCAAATTAATGGCTCCTAGCCTTGTAGACTGGTGGCGTTCATATAAAGACGATCAACAAGGAAATCATAGGCAACTTTGTTTTGTTGATTTGAATTTGTTGGGGGGACACGGATTCTGAGTTTCATTAAAATCGAATTCACACTCGACATTTTTTTTGTTAAAGAAACAGAGGGAATTTGTATTTAATACATCATTTCTAATTTAAAAGGAGCCTATCAAACCTAGGACGGTAATTGATCAATTGTGCCTTGATTCTTCAATTTCTGCCGACAATTTTTGTCTATCGTTCAGCTTGTCTACTCTGAATGCTTCATTGTCAGTTTGTCAACTTTTAGTTTCTTGTCTGCTGAATATGCTTCCCTATTACACCTTTTCTCAGATTTGTCGTGTCTTGCTACTTTTGAATTTTGTCAAAATATCATTCATTTTGCCACCTGTCACATAATTCAACAAAATACTTTGCAATATGGACTTCAATATTGAGGTAAATCTTAATATCTTCATTCCGGATCTCTTGACTTCACCAACTTTTGCGTCTGCTTGGCCATTTTGCAAATGGTGACTTTGTGTTTAGCTTCACATTCAAACTTCATCCTTGAGCTTGGAAAGGATTCCAGCTCAAACTAGAAGACTTAAGTCACTCCATTAATTTGAAAAAGGAGAGGCACGTCTGCAGATCAGCCAACATTTTAGAAATGGTATACTAGAAATATAGGACCCTCCATACAAGTTTGAAATTTCACTAGCAGTTTAGCCAAAACATAACAGCAGATGTCAAGAAGTCTTGAGCAGTTTCCATTGTGCTTCCTAGCACTATTTTAATACATAATATTTTTACATTTTTCATACATGTTATAACAATTTTTTCCACAAAACTGACTCTATCAAGTACATTTTCACTGAAATATGAATGGATCAATGGAATGCATCTGCCAGCACTTCAGCCAGAAACAGAAGTAAGTCACACCTTCAGCCTACGTGCAGTCCACACTTGAGCTGTCCAAAGACAGCAGACTAACCTAAACCCAAACTCACGAGATGTATTCCTGAGACACCTTTTAGGTACAAACTGAGGTGCGCACTCTTTGTTTTTGAACTTTCAATAAGGAGTCATGTTGCATGTAATGCAAAAGTGGTTGGGTTCTGCCTTCATCAATCCAGCAAAATCTCTCAAAAACCGTCTGATGAATACTGACGACTCAAAGGGAGTTGGGGCAAGTCTCTAGGGTCTCAAGAATGGCAGCCAGCAATCACTGGCCTGCTTAATTGACCCACCATTCGAAAACCAGGCTGAAGTAGGTTATTGATGTTGGACAATTTCCAAAGCCAAGGTAGCTTTTCATACTTCTAGATGATCCAAAGTCAACACTACTCCCGCAGAAAGCTTTGAAAGCTACAGGCAATAAAAGCTGTGGAATTTGTATTGCTCGTTGTCACCGTTTTCGAGAAGAGACAAAAGTCTCTCTGGAGAGTAAAAACTAGGTTTCGAGAAAGTCGCATTTGAAGTTGGTCTCTTTTCAAATGCTTATTCCCCAATATTTCAGCATTCTTCAACTTTATGTTACCCCGTGAAAGAGGGATCTTAAATGACACGAAAGTACAAAATAATATACAGAGGTCAATCAAAATTGTTTATTTACAAACAAAAACAAACACTTTCGTCAATTTGTGAAACTTTTGTCTCTTTGTGAAAACAGCACACACAGTACACGCTTTAGTCATTGTGCATGCCAGTTGCAAAATTGCTACATTTGCATACGTTTCTAGAGTCAAATTTGTCTCTTCATGAAAATGGCAAAACGAGAGTTACCCAAGGTTTTGTCCTCTATTGCTAAGGCTGTACCTATGACAGATAACTTTGTCTCTTTGTAAAAATGAAAAATGCAGTTTAGTTAAATCTTGACCTCAGGGAATCACTGTGATTTGGCTGATTTCAGTAGATTTGGTAAAAAAAATTAAATTAATTTGTTATCATCACATATCATCACAGAAAAATGACTTGTTGCAAAACTTTCATGAAATAGGCCTCAAACTTGGCCACTGTGGCCGTTACAGTATATTCCACGTGAGCTGGCCTGCAAGCTGTGTTGATATTTCCAGTCTTCTTTTGAGCTCCTCTCAGGTGGAGATGTAGCTGGGTTGTGCACATTCCGGCGAAAAATGGTAGCACACTGTATATCACTTATAATGCTTTGAGGACTAGTGCCACTGTGTGTCCTCCCTCTACAGCAATTGGCACTGCACAGGGAAATGAGTTGTATATACAGTTGAGACCACAGTGTCACACCATGCCAAAATGGATGACTTTGACTGTCTTGGTGGTGCCATCTCCTCTCCTGTCCTGTCGTTCTCCTTCCTCATCTCTCTCACTTCTTGCCCCTTGGGCTTCCCTGCTCCTTTGGCCACCATCTTGCTCTGTAATGTAAACATGCGTTCAAGATGAGACAATTTGCAGCAGGGATACAGCAGATATCATTTGTTGGTGTGGTGTGTTGGAGGCTCTTCCTCATTTTTGTAAAGTGTCCAGATTGACTCATTTCAAACTGAACAGTTTTCTTCAAGGACCTCTTCTTCCTCATATTCATGAGAACTTCAAATAAAAGATATTTCCCTTCAAATCTCCTGAAATATTGGCCCTCCCGACAAGTTAACGAACTCTAACTTCTAGATCTGAGTAGCAGCCTAACAACTTTTAATTTGATGGATATAATACTTGAAGAACTTCCTTCTAGAAAATGGACATCTGAATTTCTGAAGAACTTAAAAATTTTTGCAAAAATTAGTGTATGTTACATTCCAAGTAATATTCATAACAATGGAGTGGAATGGAAAATGGACAGGTTCTTACTTTGACTATCCCAGCCAAATGGATTGTCAGTCAGAACTTGTGTGTAGACATCTCCAGGGATGTTGGCGAGGCCTTCTGATGGTTCGAGGTGAAGCTCCTCTAAATCAGACCTAAAAACCACAACAGTGCAAGAGGTTACCGACCGAGTCATTTCTCACAACAACAGTTCAAAGCTTCTGGCCCGGTTGAGCGGATGACACAGTCCAACACTCTGTAGTATGGTCCATCCCCCATGGATGAATCCAGTGATGCTTCACTGGGCATTCCTTTAATGGCGGAAAGCACTGCAGTGGGTTTTATATGGAGTGACTGTCACAGAACGGTGTCTCCGTACAACAGTTATCACAAAGAAAGGTATCACAATGCTGGCCCCATTGGAGGGGGTTACTATGGTCACTGGATTTGTTATATCACGTTTGCTAATGTATTATAAACATTAATAATATTACAAATTATATTAATACTACTAATAAAATAGTAATATTATACACGGACAATATTATAAACGTTGCGACTCCCCCAACCGAAAATAACATATTTCTTCAAGGATAAATTATATTCCCCAAAATCCCCCTCCACAATTGGGGGCACTGTCAATTTCTTGTGATGCTCCTACTTTTTCAAGTCGTTGACCAATGTGAAGTATTCCGTATGTTTTACACAAGATTTGATTTGTTAAACGCAAGACCTGATTAAATCCTCTTTATGTAAAAGTTAGTTTTACTTTCTCAGCTTGGCATACAGACGAAACATGAAGTTTCCATGTTCCTTGCCATACCTGACTTTTCTCTGTTTGAGAGTTACAACAGTTCCTCCCCAACATGCGAGTATGGTACAGCATTCTTTGCCTCTATGAAGAGTCAGACTGTGCCTGCCAGGTGTGAGTGGCTCATTGGTATGTTTTACCGGGCATATTTCAGGATTGGACCTTTGAATGACTCAGGATTGAGGATCCACCAATCAGATGACAGGGATTTATTTGGGTGTTGTATAAACCCAACTAAGCTGAGTCAGGATAAAGTATGATACTTCAGCTCACCCAAGACCGTAGGCAGCATCAATCTGCTCCTCGGCCTTGTACCAGGCTTCACGCTCGATGTGTCTGCCTGCTCGGGCAGGCTTGGGTGAGGACCGGCTCGACCCCTGGGTGCTCTGCTTGTCATCCCTTCCAGACGCTCCTGGAGCTCTGCCGAGTGAAATATTCATATCAGAAATGCAAGTTCTTGGTCTGCAGTTATGTTAGCTGTGGACGAACTTTGCCTGTCTTTGCCTTCATAGATCATCCATGTTTCACCACTTGCCGGCGGTATTAATTGTGGCCATCTATGGTTGAGAATTTGACTTTCATAAAAGGCAAAATAAAGTGGCCAACTGCTGATATACAGCTAGAAGTACCGATTTGCAAGAGTCATCTAAATAACATTTGTACAATATTTCTAACAACATTATACTTTTCAACACTCCACGGCACACCAATGGAGAGATGTTTGCTGCATCGCCACAGACATCTTGGCTTTTGCGAGTACAAAATAAATATTTCATGATGTGTTAGAATGTCAGCTAGAGGTGAGTAAAGGCTCACCTGATGTTTCAAAACCCATTAGCAACATCTACATGTATATTTTTAAAATTTTCGCCAGATATTGCCGTTGAGCTAGTGCGGAGTCAAAATTGCATATGAAATATCGCCCATGTGACAGGCTCTCGACCAATAGGAATGGATAAGCAGCATGAGCTATTTTCAAACACAGAATAAGGGACTGCAGTGCTCACTCAAGAACTGCCTAAAGATGCCTGGCATTTAGCGATACCGCTCATTTCTCTAGCAGTCTAAGGCTGTATGAAAGGCTGGATATTATTGACAGTGGTGTGGTGCCTGGAGACCTTCTCCACTACACTATGGCTAGGTTTAATAACCTTCTCACCTTGACAAAGATGCTGCCTGAGGTTCACCTTCTTCACTGCCACTGCTGTACGACTCGCTGGAGAAATCCTCCTCTTCCACAGAATCGCTCAGAGAATCCAAGTTATCTGACAGCACAGAAGAGCAGGAAAGTAGACAAAAATTCCAAAACAACTTGCATGTGAAATCCACCTCAGCAGCTTTAGCCCACGAAGCAACCAGAGGCCAAATAGGGTCAAGAGCACCATTGTCTTGGGAAGTCACCAGGTTGGTGTAGTGGTACCTTCCTCCCCTCCCATCACTGGGCCCCAGGTTCAAATCCCGCCCAGGCTGACATGTGAATTGGGCTCTCAGTCCTAAACCTAAGTCAGTGAGTTTCCCCAAAAACATTTGTCCGCGGTTTTCTTCACACCTCAAAAATTGAACACTTCTTCATCGTCTTCAACCCCAGGCCCCTGGGGGAGTATAGTTTACCACCGATGGGCTTTACCTCGGTTTAATACATCTATAATACTTATTATGTGGCATAGCTGGTACACCATTCTGTTCATCAGGAGATCAACGATGACGTAAAAGAGGAAATGACTTGAACAAGCTAAAGGCCATACTCTTTGTGGACTGTTTTATAAAGCACTGACTGAAAATGCCAATCTTCAATTCAAGTCTGAGCACTTAAGGCATTGTCACTTGTCCAATACATGTACTACTCCTATTCTTAACCAGAATCCACTTGTCTAGTTTCTTGACTTTAAGTCCAACAGTAGAGCACTATGTTCCACACACTTGCCATAGTCAGGAAAGGACTCAACTACTTTTTGCAACATCTAATAACATGTCAACCAATTCAGGTAATTAATTTAATGGTTTTCTTGGAATTAAGAATCTGTGCACACTTCAAATACTGGGGTCCAAACGTCAGGAATGTAGAGCAACTTTTTTCCCCATTTTTTTCTGGCTTCAATTCTTACCTGATTCTGAGGGCATTTCTTGCTCAATCTCATCCGCCTTCTGCTTAGCGACAGTCGCTAGGGCCATCTCCCCCTTGTCTAATGCCAGGTAGTGAATGTCCTGAAATGAAGCATGAGAACCCAATGTAAACATAACACTTTGTTTCTTTGCCATATTGACACCATCTGGTGCGAAGCATGTTGAAGGTGGAATGTCCAAACCACCAGCAAACCATATCAACCATGTGGGCATGTTTTCCATCAGCAGTCAAAAGGCCAACATCTGAGTGCACATCTATCAATTCCTTCACTTCATGACACACGCACAAACAAATAGAGACACCGGCAGTACATCCTTGCTAGGAATAAAAGCATCCTCTGTCATCCATGCATGGGGATCTGTACTTGACCCAATAAATATTTGTATGCTACATCAAATAGATTTGACGTGGAAGTGGAAAACAGAGTGATGGTGACAGGTGGAAGTTTAGTATCAAGAACAGTTGAAATGACAAACAAATCTCATGAGTTTCGTGTCAATGCAGATGTTCCTGCTTACAAGGATGTCATAGTAAGTTAAACAGCCTTAGAATCCTCTGCTAGATATGCATGTAATACTCAAACAGGCATCCACAGTGTAGGATAGGAGCCAATCACATTTTTGCCACAGCATTTGCTTAGAGGAGGCCGCCTCATTTTGGACATTACCTACGAGCAGGAACAAACGAGGGCGTGTTTTTACCCAGTGGTGGGAACTCACCACGTGCGTGAAAGGGTTCGTGTGCACTTGGCATGGGTTGCAGTAAGCACGCGCAACCGATTCGTGTTTGAACCATGGTTTGAGTGGTTTGAACGAGTTGCAAAACATGGCCACTGTTTGGTAACCACTTGGTGGGTGCATCGCACTCTTAAACTTGCTACTAGTTGTGAGAGAGGTTCATCAGCATCACGTATATGATTGGTTTTACCATGAAAAGGTCCCTTGAGTGGAGATCCACGGCCAATAAGAAGGCCTTCTCAAATCGTTGATACCTCAACAGATGGTGGAAGAACCTCCGGGCGAGGCGACTGATTGGGTCACGGTAGTCCATGACAATCACATCAGACAGGGGCCTCAATGGGGCATAGAAGCTACCCAGACTAGCTTCCAAGGCAGCTGAGTGTATAAAGAGGATATTTAAGAAACATGCTTGTGAACTTGAAGTTCAATAGCACAAGGTCCAATCAAAAGACGTTAAAGTATCACACGAACACACAGTTTCCCTGAGTTTGGCCACCACTGCAGAGGTCAAGCCCTTGGTTAGCCACCGCACATTGTAGATTAGACAGTCAGGTTTATTTCAGGTAAACTAACCACAAATTCTTGATCACATGGCATAATGGTCACCACTTGTGCCATGTGATATTGTCGTTATTGTGCTGATCCAGCACTGGGTGCTGGCTCTGTGCTTTCTTTGTACTCTTTGTGATTTACAAAGCTTTGCAGACTTCTCTTTAGTTTTGCAGTGATGGCCAATCCATAGTTTGGTAACTATAAACTATGTGACTGTGAAATGGAGATGTTGTGACTGAGCAAAGGTTTAACAGGACAACTAATGACATAATTTGTCTCAAGTAACAGTTGGACTGGCGTTAAGTTGGTCAGGGACTCTTTCCCTAAATACTGAGTTCAAGCGCTATAGGGCTGTGTTCAAGTGTGTTACTCATGTTAACTCAAGTACATTTCTGAGTGCATGAACGCCAAGAGTATAAACCATGGGTAAGCAAGAGCATACTCTCAGACTGGGAGTACAATCTTCCATTATGTGCTTACTTTAAGATGGCAGAAAGGAAACGGTTTAAGGATAATTCCAGAAATTAGGGGTCCAAAAGTGTGACACTTTTGTGTCCCTGTTACATCTGAACTTTGTTATTTGACATGGAAATATCACCGGAATTGATTTCAAACTATTCATCACTCTTGGAAATTAAAAAAATGTGTTCAAAACTAACAAAATCAGATGTGACAGGGACACGAAAAAAGATGGACCCCTAATTTCTGGAATTACCCGTAACTTCAGCCTAAATGGGAAGTGAACTGAGAGTTATACATACGCAACATGTACCCGTGAGCACTGAAAGAAGCACATGCAACGGCACGCCTGTAGGTGTGGGTGAGCGTTTGTCAGTCGTCCCGCTTACCTTCTCTGTCCGGGGTGAGCGGCAGCTTCAAGAGGTTGTTGATGATTGTGGTCAGGCAGGTGAAGCAACTACCACTGTCCGTGTTCCAGTTCATCACATTCAACAGATTAACAGCCTGAGTGAGAGACAATCATGCTGGTATTAATTCAAAGATTCACTTAGAATCTGTCCTATCCAGTTCACCTTGACTGGAGCACACTTGGACAAATCTCCACAAGGCCAAACAACCTGTCAATATATGTTGTTGGGAGCGCCAGTCAGAAGCCATAAACCAGTACACCGTACAGCCAGGGAATACTTCTAAAGTCACAATACATATAAAGGTAATACTGGCAAGGCTGCGAATGTGGGAAATGCTGAACGAAGATAATTTCAGAGGATGTGTCCCGGCGTAAAGATATCAATAAAGGAGAAGAGCCACCAGCACAGGGGTGGATAGCTCAGTAGGTAAAGCACCAGCATGGTGTTCCGGATGTCTTTAAGTTCAAATCCCACTCAAGTTAACATTTGCTCCATTACACAAACAAACATTAGAATCTGATTCTTGTGACTGAGATGACACAGAGATTGGGAAAACAGCTCACTTATAGTACAGCAATGACTGTTAGGAAATCGTAGTCATCAACACGTGGAACATTACCTCGTTAATTTGTTTATGGTTCAGATACTGCTGAATCAGCTCCTGTGGACCCAACTGCCCTCTGCTAAGCACTCCCAAGTGCAGCTGCAAAATGGAAATGGGGCCACTGGAACGCAATAGATCCAAATCAATAACAAATCTATAGAATACAAATGCGAAGGGGCTCGGAGTGGAATGAGAGATATATTTTATGAGGCAAATGAAAAGGCCAGATTTTACTTTGCGAAAATATTCCTCCAAGTGAAAGCCACTCAATATTTGTTTTACATAACTGACATACAGATCTGAATCCGTTGCATGTGCAAAATTGGTGCAAATATTGGCACAACTACTGAAATTGTCACCATGATTGAGTGTGCTTGTCAAGCAGCATGAATCAAGTCCCAACCTTCTCCCCAGAGTTAAGATTGCAGTGCTCTGCTGTTCAAAATTAGTGAGGGTCAACTATTCGACAGTCATGGGTACAAGGATCTTCCTGATTATGTTTATCTCTTCTATCTTCCTAACTGTTGAATAGTAAATCCCCTTCACAGTGGGTGAATGGGGCTTTTTGAGCCGCTGTGCGAGTCGCAGCAATAATAATTGTCATGTAATCATGTGAGATCCACCAATTAAACGACAAGGATCTTTGGGTCAGTTATGTAATACACGCTGACAAATTCACTGTGCAACGTGCCTTGTATGACGATGTGTTGCCCTAGCAAAAATTCCCCTGTATGGTACAATATTGGGTTTGGGCGAAAACTGCGCTTCAATCTGTCGTTTCTATGTTCAACCCATTTCTAAATCTGATCTTTTTCAGCTTACAATATTCATTGTAATGGTCATTCACAGAAGACATTCCCCAGGTTTTGCAAAAAATGTTTCGTCTTAACTTCCCTGCAGTACGACAAACCTATCCGAAATAGGCACATTTTAACCTTATGAAGGGTTTCACAGATTGCATCACATGTGATCCTGTATTATTTTTCTGCTTCCAACCACAGGGCTCCTCTTCTAAAAGACTTCTTAACCAAATTCAACTTGATATGGCAAACTTTAAAGAAAACAGGGTAAAAGAGTATATGCTTTCATCGAGAAGCTCAAGTTTCACAGATTGGTAGAAGTAAAGTGCAAAGCAGCTGAAAGTCCTGAATCTTTCAATTCAAGTACAAATGCTTTGCTCGAACCACAGCAAGCACCGTTTAGTCAGATATTACTCACCCATTAAAAATCATCAGGAGCGAGTCTTGTGCATCGGCAATGCAGTCAGATAGACAGGTGGAATAGCTCCACAGCAGCGTTCCAATTGTGATGGGGGATCTGTTTGGCACGGAGAAGTCATTACATCGGGGGTGTGAGTGGCAAAAAATAGCTAAAATTGCGAGTACGAAGAGTAAAGTATATACAGCATGGGTTGGGGACCCACTTATGGCTGTGGTACGTTTTACAGCCTTCTGGTGACACCGTTGATAATTTTTTCTTACAATTTAGGCTATCATATTATTGAGATATGTATATTTTTATAAAAGCATGTTTTTTATTTTACTTCTTCTTCACATTTGTCTGAAATTCCTGAAGTGGTTAAAATGAATGGAAAGAATTACATATATGGACAATGCTAACTTTCGCTTCAAATATTACAACAGCCATCAGAAAGTGAAAACATGTCGTAGAAGTAAGAAACTGCTGAGAAAATTTTGAAGCATTTACTTGGAAAACAGGTTTGTTTTCAGAAAGTCTCATGGGTTTGTGCACAGAGGCATGAAGTGTTGTCTGTATATGGAACTCTTTCCACATGAACGAGTAATTGGTATGCCAAAATTGTAAAGTCTGTCGAGGTTTGTAGAGTGAGTTTTCCCACCAGATCTGAGCATGTTTTCAAAATTTCAGTTCTTGAAATAATGCACATCGCGTGCGTACATCATATGTCCAGGCTTTTGGATTTTCTGGGTGCGGGACCATTTCCACGGAGTTACGACTTGAGGATCCGCCTTATTAAAGGCTGTATCAAACTCAGAAATTTTTTGAACAATTGTACATACATGTATGTGTTACACTGATATTTTGATGAGTTTATGCCCAAAAATTGTTTGAAAGCCGTACAAAACGATGCACAACCATGTTAGAATGCATGACACAAGAAGAACTTTGCGTGCCCCGCACCAGTTGTCACGAAGCCCTCTATCAGCAAAGCGAAAATTTACTAACCTTACTTCAAGAAAGCAAATTTACAATGAAATGTATGCTACCACGAGTTATGGTAGAGCTTGTTAGTCACAACTTCCACTTACGCAGGAACGGCAGCAACGAGTCCCACTGACACATATATGAGGCATGATCATGAACCAACTGACATATCCATGTCATTCAGATATTTACTATCAACTACACAATAGCTCAAGGCTTATTTAAGCACAAATGCTGCATTATAAGGAAACTGATGTATCACCTGATCAAACCAGAGGTTGTGGTACAGGCTGACAGCAAAGTGCCCTCATTGGTCTACTGCCTGTAAAAACCTCACAGGAGGGTTGGAATAAAACACCCTGATTGGTTGTTTTACAGACACATGACAAGGTATTCCACACCCCTGCAGTTTTTAGTTCACACCTGACAGGTATATCAACCCACAGTACTCTCTGGATAATTTCCTCGTAAAAGCTGACTGGCTAGTGCCAGGGACAGGGGAGGGGGGCGAGTTGAGGAGGCCAATCTTTTGTCTTTACCTGAAACACTTGGACAGTTGCAATGTGGGCCAGCTTCGGGAAGTCTCTCCAACAGTGAGGATATTCAGAGGGTTCAGAGCCATGTCAAAACACTGTAAGAGGGAAAAAAACATATGGGGAATTCTTAGTCCTGGGAGCCTTCATCAACCCTACTGGAATCAGGGATGAGCAACAGTTCCTACAAAGACCAGCAGCGGCAACCAGCAGAATCCAGTACAACACTTGTCCCGTCTCCAAGGACTAGTAAGACCTTGCATGTACATGTATGTACATAAAACAAATAGGTACTGAAATGTAAGTGTGTGCACACAATATTCATTACTCCAAGCGAACTGGGAGCACGTGTTATTGTCCCCCACCCCTGAAACTGTAACAGGAAACTGTTGGCTTACATGTCCTTTAGTCCAAAGTGGTTGAGTGGAAACCATACCTGAATTTCTCCTTTGATGCCAGACACGAACACCAGACAACTTCCGGGGTGCCAGGTGATCAGCGACGGCACCTACGTGTAGCACAAATAAATGGAGCAGTGCTCAGTAAGTTTGGACACAGGCTAATCTGTGTTATGACCATGGCATTATATTAAATTTCTCAATGCTAACTCAAAGTGCAAAGTGATGCCTGCTGGGCGCATCCACGTTTGTGCACAAACCTACGCAAAAAACTAATTTTGTAACACATTTGTATACAGCAATTGGCATATCTGCCTCTGTATTCTAAAAAGATGCGTCATCTATTCATATACCTACACAAATCCCCAAATGCACAATTACTACCTATGTGTTTTAGTTTACTATGTTACTATGTGTGAACAATAAAATGCATGTGCATATGCACTGACGGTGAATTTTCCTGAAGTTTTTTATTAAGTCCTACTACTGAGAGAATATGCATCTACAAAATATTTGCCAGCCAAAAAAAGGCAGAGAACAAATATTTCAGAAAAGAATGAGAAAAAGGCAATTCTTTGGTAACGTAACGATAGCCTCACCCCTCAGAAAGGAGATATTTCTCAATCTACATGAACAGTATGAACAGTATCCAGGCTCTTGGGGTAGTATGCGTCAAGACTGACTGCAGTAAACATGAACATTAACCCAGCCAACCTTGATGATCCATCCAACATTCTACTTCCCTCGTTATTGCTTCAAGACAATAAAACAAAGAATCGCCTCAAAGACCAGTGTTAATGTACCATTCGAGCAGTTAGCTGTGTACAGAATACTGTTAACACAGTTTAAGAAATGGCAGAAATACCACTGGAAGATTTTTTTTCTTACCAAGTCTGATTGTACAAATTGAGTGACTCGTTTGCTCTCATCATACAGCACCTGAAGGAAAAAAAAAACTGGAATTAATTCTCATTTCAAATTTATACAATGAAATTTTTTCTGGGACCCTGCTCGCCAACAGTTTCACTTTTTGACAACTTTTCCCAAAAAGTAATCAAAGGCATTACTCACCAACTTGCTGTCTGAACATCCCAAAATCAATTTGTCTTCAGAATGGTTTCGTCCGTGTGCAACAACTTTTGCTGCAGAATTAAAGTGGCAGACAGAATATCACTTTGGGAAACTGGCAAACTTGAGTTGTACTACAAAGGATATGTGAAAGGTATACCATTTTGTTTCACTTTTTAGTTTACAAATACTACATTTATCTCCTATTGGCTGGACAGGGTTACATAAACAGATGCATTCTGGGTAAGCATGTTGATATGCATGCTAAACTGAAACTATGAAAAAGAATAGTTGAAATGTTGGTATAAACATTTATAAGAGTTCCAGTTTTCATTTTTTTTTACCTTGCACAGACATGTGTCAAGAGCGTTTTTTTTCTCACCTTTTAGCGGAATTGTAGTGACAGTGGCTCTTTGAATCTAGAATATAAATAGGAAAAATGAATCAGTAAAGATATCACAAGATGTCTTCCAAAGTGAAGACTGATCCTAGTGCAGGTTTTGTTTGTTTTGCTTTCCATGAGGAAAGGACGTAATGGACCATTCTGAAGAATTTTCACACCATCTCTGGGAAAAACTGCAAAGAACTTCAATTGAGTTTTTCTTGGCAAAGAAAACACAACCAATTCTAAAACTACAAGTCCAATTTTCAATAAAAAGTGGAATTCCAGTAGCAGAGAACCACGAGATGGGGGCAAACATACCCTCGTTTTTGAGCATTCGTAGATGCAGGTATCCACGTTGTGATCCCCTGATGATGCTGAGGAGACGCCTTCCAAAGTGTAGATATGTCTTGGCTGACTCAAACTTTCAAATGGAAAGTCACAACAGAGAGCAATAAGTTCTCAACAAAATTTGAAGATCTACACAGCATAAATCACGTGTGTGAAGATATCATTAGATAATAATATGCAGTCTAACCCCCCAAAAAGTTGGGAAGCAGACACTCTCTAACAATGTTGCAAAGCAATTTTTTTATGGTTTTTATGTGTTGTGGTCATTCGACCATCAGTTTCATTAGATTCTGTTCTTATTTTCAAAGGCAGGCAAGTGTCAATTTTCAAAGGCAGGTAATCTTAATCTGAACTTGAAAGATTTTAACTGTTGCCTTTACTTCTGCTCATTGCATTGTGTGACTTCACTAGTGAGTATGTGACTTCAGCTAGTCAGCTAAAGGCTGCATTACACAATATGAATATGTGTTGGAAACCCTACCCAACTAATGAAATGGACCCTGCCAGGGTCCTCAGAGTTTCTTTAGGTCCTTAAATCTGACACAATAAAAATCACATTTAAAAATCATCCCATTTTTGTTCGTGTGAATTTCATTTTTTGGCAATATGCCGCCCTGCATAACAGTGATGTATTCGAGTCTATCACAAGTCCAGTCACAAGTCCCTTCGTCATAAGTAACAAGGTCAACAATGGCAATGGAAGGCTTTTGTCTTAGTTCATTTGAATAGCTTATTAATTGGCTTAAGACTGAATGACTTGTGACGGTCTTGCAGGGACTTGTGATAGACTTGAATACAGCACTGCTGCATAATATGATGTAAAGAATGAATCTAAATTCATATAAAAAAGTTGACAAGCATCATTTCATTGGTCAGTCAAAGTCAATTGAGCCAGCTTGGTATTCCAACCGCACATGCCCAAACTGAAGCATATATGAGGTCATTCAGGAACAGCAGTACACATGGCTGGTAGTCTGCCCTATCAGTGTAGCCACACACCAACTTACACACGTGCTTTGTTCCCAAAAGACCTTGCCTTTATGAAATACCGAGCCGGCTCATTAAACAACCTGCAGGCGAGGTAGGAAATCAGTCTTTTCGGCAATCCTTTTCATACCTGAAGGAGACGTCTAAAGGGTCGTACTCTGTGCTGACAAAACACAACTCTTCCAGTTTGGATCTGCAAGAAGAAAGAAACTTGACAGCTTAGGAGAGAATGGCGACTTCTCTGTTAAACTTACATCTGGAGATCACAGGATTTCTTCCTTCCGTAGTTCTTTCACTGTATGAAAGAAATCCGCACATTTTCCTAAGCATTTTAGTACATCATATTATAAGCACTGTAAAGTATTTGATATCTGATCATTCACAGTTGATTTCAAGGCCAAATGCATACCAAATGTCCTTAACAATTGAATAATTTTAACAAGGCCCGAGCTGATTTCTTTGAACCGTCAACTTGCTCCCAATCCTTACTTGAACTCTTCCCAATATATGAGACAATTCCTCACCCATTGACTCCATAGAGAATCACATTGGCTCTCTCCTTGTCACTTGTCATGGGTGTCCAGGGCCATGCTGACGAGTCGTCCCGGCCTGCACAGCACCAGACTAACACCTAAGAGCAGACAGAAGGGCAGCAATGTGGTGAACTGATCTCAGAATTTGTTCAAATATGCCGATGGCTCATGATCTTCTCTGCTGAATTAGAACAGTGCACCGGGCACGGTGTAGATTTCTGCACTTCAGACAGACAAACGTCTTACAGAGACTTGTTTCCTTGCCCTCATGTTTGTCTTAGCACGAGTTTAAAGACAGCTTTTAAAAACCTCCAGAGAAACAAGAGATTGTATTAATATAGGAAGACAATACAGTAATGGTAGACAGGAGTGTCAGACTTACCCATTCCTGACTGGCATTGACAGACAGTTTTCTCTCACGTTTGGTTTTCAGCCCGGGTAGGTCTACATGTGTTATCTGGAACAGCCACAAAACAAGACAACTTGTCATTTGCAAAAGAAACAAATGGAACATGAAAAAGCAAAAATAAACAGCTAAGGGTCTTAATAACCAGAATTTGTGAAAGTGTGTACATTTGTACACGAGCAATCGCACCGCATCACACCTTTTTTGAGTGGTAGCATACCGTCTCTCGTGAGTGTCAAAGTGTAATCAATTGTGCCTGAATCCAACAAAATGAGTCCTACTTCTCTTCCCCTTCCCAATATGTTTTACGCATTGGAAAGAACATAAGCAGCTCTCCTTTTCGATGTACACGTATATAAGAATCAATTTAATGTCAATTTGATCTTTATAAATACAGCTGTTACGTAGGTAAATGCATACACAATTCCCACTGATTTCTATGCTGCAGGATTTGTTAACATGTTTGTGTTCAAAAGTACTTCCGGTTACCTTTGTTTCATGTTGATGGCTTGCGTTTTCATGGACCTAACTTTTTTTTTTCTAAACCTCATCAATTTCCAAGAGGAGCACTTCTTTCCTTACCTTTGGGTCATAGGAAGACATCTTGTCTATCTTCTTGCTGGTATCTTGGCCTGACGAAGGCCTCTTGCTGAAGAATGCGTAACCCAGTTTGGGTTTCTCAGGGAAAGTGCAAACAACGAAGGCATCTGTGACAACAGCTGTTGGAGAAACAGCTCAACAATATCAGACATTTTTGTTGAGTTTGCATTTGCTTCAATAGGCCTACTTGGTTTTATGTGTGAAAGAAGACGAACATCCAGGGGGTTTGTAGTTAATTTTGTGGTTTTCATTTCCAACAGACCCCTATTTTAGACCAAGGAAGAAAAAATTTATGATGCCGACCCTGTCTGGAAGTTTGAAAATTTCTAGGGACAAGCAAATAATGTTTTCACTCACCCCCTTTTCCTTTAACCGATTACCCCAGACTCTAGTTCTAAGACTGGTATTTTTCTAGGACGGGTGTCTAACTTAAATTGGAAGTACACAATTGAGATAAATTACATGCTAACAGAGTGACTGGAAGTCAAATGTAAGGTGTGCTGGGAAAAAAGTCTCCAAGCTGACATAAAACAACATGGCAACTTGTGAGTACCACTGTTAACCCTCAAAACATGTAGCTTTGCTGCAATAACAGTGTGGGTGTGAACTACAAGTGGTGTAAACAAGAAACAAGGAAGTTTAATTACCAGCAGCGGAACCTAGTGGTGGGAAAGGGCAGGGGAGCAAGGCCCCCCCACTTTTCGACTGGCAGGGGCACCCTCTCCCACTCTTGGCAGGTCTTGTAAGGGGATGAGTGTTTAATGGATCAATCTCGTAATGGCTGATGGTCTCACAACTACCCCCTTCGCACACTTTAAAAATTGTTTCCCCACCGAGTTCACTCTTATCCAATCCAAACATGAGAATGATCAGACGTTCATGGATAAATCCACGTACATGTATCATTATTAAAAGCCATAACTGAGGTGGAACCAAGTTTGCACGAAGGTTGTGTACGTTCACTAAACTGAGTTTAAGCCTGCCAGTGTGCCTCAAGTGCATGGACAAGTCGCCAGTATGTCTATGATTTTAGTTTTGATAGACTGTCTCCCTCCGCTTGCAATGTCTCTTACCACAGTTAATGGTCTCCGAGCAGAATTTCCCTTGCAGAGCTTTGTCAATCAGAATCCGTTCCACATCGCCACTGTGCACTGACACTTGGAATGACAACAGGATGCAATTGCTCAGCATAACCTGGATAAAGGAATGGGAAAGGTTTATATTCGCTGACAATGGAGAGAGCAAATTCTCACTGTCACTGCATTGCCACAAATTCATCATTTTCTGTTCAAGGAGACTACATGCAGTAGGGCCAGACAGGGGATATTCATGCACTGCATTAAATAATAATGTAACCAGTTTGGCAATCTCTGTGGACATGAAAGTACTGGGGTACATAAAGTTTAAACTAGGAAATACATCTTAAATTTTCACAGTTTATCATGCTGTTTTGCACACTGCTTTGCATATTTACAATATCTTTCCAAGATATATATATCATAAATACTGGCATTTAGCTTGCCATTCATTTGAATTCATGTTTTGAGGAAAGTTAAATTGAATAAGTATGAAGGATCAGTTGAAAGGAATTCTGACTTTACAGCCATTTTTGTTCTTGTTTTATTGTCTCTTTTGGGTGACATTGCCCAAAACTACCATCAAGTTTACTGTCAGGCACTTTAAAACTGTTTGTTAAAAATGATGACACAATAATTGCAATTTCTGTGCAGATGCAAACATAAATACATTAGGGCTGTAAAACAGGTCTAAAGTTGCCACTTTTTAAACAGATTTACACAAGTTTGGGTAAGATTTGTAAATGACACTGGTATTTTAGCTTGACGTTCAACAACATTCTTATACTGAGGAGGCAGGTGAATTGTAATGAGTTGAGTTAATGAGTTGAAGAAATTAAATACGACAGTCAGTTTGTTTCTGGGGGGGGTGACATGGCCAAAACACTATCATCAATACAAGCGATTCACATCAGTCTGCCTCCAAGAGTTTGCAACGCGTTGGCCAATCACGACGCACGAAATCTGTCAACCAAAAGCGCATTTGGAAAGGGTCGACAGATTTCGCACATTGTGATTGGCCAACGCGTTGCACACTCATGGAGGTGCAATATTGTGAATCTCCCATACTGCATACAAAATGACACTGCATGAGGGCTATGACACTTTCAAGACGAAAAATTTTGAAAAGTAACGCTCAAATGATTTGAGGAACATTAAATGTTAACTAGAAGTGTTCCCAATGTTTTGAAAATCAACGACAAGGTTTCCTTGTCCCCCATGTATGAAGTTGACATAGGCTCAGCCTATTTTTTAGGTAAGCAAAATTCTGCTGACCCTGCCTATAAGCAACAGTGTTTTGTCATCAGCTTAAACATAACTTCAGATACCAGCTTGGGCTTACCTGGAACTGTCGTCTTGATCTCCATCTTGTGAACACTACCTGATGGTTAGCTAACAGATCCTAAAACACAGACACATTTATCATCTTAGGTTAGGACACAGTATAAAATGCAATCTCCATTTTGAAACAATAGAGTTTAGCCGCCCGTTACTAAATACAATTTAGAAAAGCATTGTGTACTTGGTGCTTCCTCCAAGGTCATGAGAAACAATGCCAAACGTCGAGGGCAAGACTCTAGCCCCACGACCTTCTGCTTAAAAACTTCCAAGTCACTGTCAGCTGGTTTATCAAACTTCACCCTAGCAAGCCCAGAGAAGCAGCAAGATGTCATTAAGTTCATGTCCAATCCAAGGATGTTTTTCCCCACATTCCTCGCACAGTGTTGGGCATTCATACACGTGGTTATACAGTAACAAAAACTGACACCTTCCCACTATCAACCAAAACTTTCTGTCACAAACATGATATTCCACATTTACATCAGTATGTACAACTGCTGCTTCGCCACTAATCAAGGACAAACAACCAAATGCCAGCTAGGATCCCTATTTTTGTGGCATAGTTCAAGCCCGTTATAATCACGGCTGATGCACAGCCAGACTTACTTCAACTTCTTTGAGAAGATCTCTGAGCTTGTCAGGGCGTCTGTTTTTGGGTGTCCACAGCAAATCTCTGCCTGGCAATTCCAAAAAAACCCCCAAAATAACCATGAAAACTCTTGATTGTGTTGGTTGATGTCTGGTAAAATATGCCAATAATTTCAATTTCAAATAATGAAATTATTCCACATAGTTTGGAAAATATAAGCTTTATATTACTAACAGGGAAATGCATTCAACTCTGACACTGGGTAAAAAGTACAAACTTCAATATCCCTCACAGGGTTGTTAAGAAAATTTTGGAATTTTTAGAAACCAAAAGCACTCAGGCCTATTTTCACTGTAGCTCTGTTTTAAATGGTGTTCTAAAACACCAGTTTACTGTATATGCTAGTTTCTGCTTAGGAGTTTACAACTTACTTTCTGCATACTGCTGTTTCTCATCAAGATAGCCAGTCACAACTGCAAAGAAAGCAAATCAGTCAACACCAATGATGTAAAGAAAGGCTTTTGATTTTGTAATATTTAAGAGCAGAGTATCTCTGATTCACATCAGTGAGTATGCTTGTATGATAGACATAACTTCACATTTCGTTCAATTTAAATTTTTACACTTTGAAGATAGTTAGTTTCATCAGCGATGACGTTTACTGAAGGGTAGTTCCCACTACCAGCAGCAAACAAGGATAGAAGACTTCAAAGGAACCTTGTTAACTACCGTTATTGCTCTTGGCCAAGTTCGATTTGTAAGATTTTTGTCTCAAGCTCTTGCCTGAAGAAAACCAACATGTAAGCTTGCAAAGTAAATTTCACAAAGGGGAATCAGTATGAATTTGTTGGTAATGGTTATAGTTATTTCACATAATAGTTATTTGGAATAAACAATAGAAAACACAATGGAATGGGAAAACATTGTGGTGTTACTCAATTTAATGGCCAGATATATTCAGTACTTAAGTAATGTGAACATGTTCGGTTACATTGTAAAGAATGACAGCATTGAAACAAATGTTGCATCATCATCAACAGGACCATGTTCCAATTCTGCCCTGCCACAATGCAACACTTTTAAGAATACATGAAGAGTACCCTTTTATATGTAGGCAGGTGATAAACAATCTACAAGCAGCATTTGAATGTACCTGTTTCTCCCTTATCATGGTAGGTATGACACCCAACATCAATATCTATGGAAAAAAGGACAAAAAATGAATGCTAAGGGTAAGATTGGCCCAATGACCTTAATCGTAGTTCTTGTTTGTAAATTAATAAAAGATGCAACGTATTATTAATAATATGACATGGTTATATCACACATTCCAGTAGCAACAGATTCTCCAGGTGCTTTACTACCATGTTATACATGTATTCACTGGGCCAAGAAACATTCCAGTAAACAATCTCAACTCCCTGGAGAACATACCATATCAAACATTACCAGGTTAATTAACCCAACAACCCTTCCTGCCCTCACAGGCACCCATTTAAATCCCTGAGAGGAGAGAGGCAAGTTAACGAAGGTAAAGTGACAAGTCCAGGGTCACAACATTTACCCAATCACAGGATTTGAACCCCGGTCCTTCAACTGGGAGTTGTAAACCCTAACCGCTAGACCCCATGTCTGCATTAAGCTTTATGACGCCAACCCCAAAGTCTGGTTTCATGCTAATTGTCACGGTTTTTCATTAAATTTATGTTTCTCAGCTCTTTTAAAGTTATGCAAAGCCTCATCTGAAGTACATGCATGTATAATTATACCTCAGCTGCACCTTCTTCAGCCAAGCGGGATCTTCCAGATCTCCTCTTGTATTATGAAAAGATCTCAGGCTTCTGGGGTCTATTCCATGGGTCAGTTTTCAGGTCATTAAAAATGATCCTCTGGGACTCTTTGCAAACCAACCCTTCATTCCTCACCTCTGATTGTAACTGATGACTTGAGAGACCAGATGTGAAGTTCAGCCATGCAGCATGCCATGACAGGGCTGGGCTGATCACTGATGCCTGTCGTAATTACAAGCAGCTCAAGATGTACAGTTGCTTAAACCCTGCTGTCATGTTAATTTGCCAGTAAAAACTGCGCCAGCTGTGAAGCAGAAAAAGAAAACTATACATGTACAGTTGTACACTGTCTTGGCCAATGATAAATGAGCGTGTATACCTTGTAACTCCATTCTGTTGTGTACATCAACCTCAGCAACATAATTTTTAACACCGAGTACATACTGCAAACTTCAATTCCAAGTCTGTCCATAAGACCAAGACAAAAAGACAGAATTGACAAAGGCTGTTTTTTTTACGTTAGAAAAACCTGTTGTAAGGCTCACTCTGTGTGCCTCACAGTTACAAATTTATTGTTTGAAACACTATGGGATTCTGAAAGTATCTGTTGACTGTGCCTAAAACAGCATTTTTTTCAATAAACTTTCCCCCAAAAGCCATCCACACTAAATAATATATCCTGAACACGTATGCTCGATGGTTTTTGGACCATGTAGGAGCTTTTTCTGGCAAAATTCAGACCTTTTACTAACGATTGTGTCACTCTTCAAAAATTGATTGAAGATACAGTTTTAGCAGTGATGGAAATAACTGGGTTCGCATCGCAAAATGCGATACATTTTTGACGAAAAGCGAGACAAATCAGAAAACGATTAGCATTTTTTTGCGAATCAAAATTTCTGATAATTCATGCAAAACCACGACCGACGCTCGACATACTTGTGCGGCAACAGCTGGCTAGATTGGCAAAATTATTTCGGGCAACGACACGATGACCAACGTTCACTGGAAATGCCTGGCCAGCGCGGCGAGGTGCGGCATACATGGTGCGCAACAGCCCGCCAAGACTGTGCGTAAATCAACAGCAAAAACACACCGACACTTAACCTGAGTTTCCATCATTTTCATATGCGCACCAATGGTGGTCTTGGGCATGAAGTTGCTGCAGTTTTGTGTGTCAGCGCACGTAATTTGTACAGAAATGTACGTGTGAGCGACACGCGCACAGTACATGTACACACAGTTGTTTTGGTGACACAAACTACATGTTCTTGTACATGTACATACATATACACGCTATTGTTTGACACTTTTACACGTGCATACTATACCTACACGTTTACACTGCTACTAAAACTGTCAAAAATGCAGAAAGTTCCGTCAAACCACACCATCAGGAATTGGCAGAATGATATGCCATGGTTGAAGCAGGAGCAGCAGTCTACAGGCCTGATTAACACATTCAGTACTACGGTTTGAAAATGAACATTTTTATTACAAACATTGTTGCATTTGTTTTTGCTAGTCAATTTATTCAAATTGCTAATCGAATGACAATTTGATTAGCATCATTCACTAATCATTTTCCCCCTTATTTCCATCACTGTTTAGGCACAGAGTGTGCCTCTAAGTAAGCCAATTTCCCATTCCATCGCCATGTTGATTTTAGTGCCCCCGCGCGAGGAAGTAAACAAAGCCAACGGAACAAATTGCCTCCAGCAATAACTACTAACTAGTGCGAGCATTCATTCATCAAACATTATGCAGCGTTGTCATGAATTTGTTCCCCTCTGTTAAATCTCCTGAGCGTGCACACATGAAACGTGAAAAAGGCTTATTTTTGGAGTAACATTTAGTGGCTTAGTAAATATTATTGAACGCCTACTGTACATGTACCGGTAGGCCCATCCATGGGGAGTCAAGTGGATTGGGTTTTCAGTCCCTACCTGATTCCACGGGTTTTGCCCAGGATATTCCTTTGGGTTTTCCTCCCACCTCTAAAACTGTAACTGTTTCTCACTGTCTCCTCTCTACAGGTTTCTTCAGGCTGGCTAGCTACAGTGCCTAGGGCACTTTTGAGAAATCCTTGGTGTCATTACCAGAAATATACCATATAATAATAATAACAATAATGGAGGAAGGGGTAAAAGAGCCCCTAGAACTTGCAAACTCTTACAGAGTATGCCATTGGTCAGATCACGGTCAGACGTACAGTATAGAAAGCGGTCATTGGCTGTTGTACCAAGTTACCTTAAAACAACATGGCGGCCTACACGAGAAACTACAAACAGGATGACAACGTCGAAAGTGAGTTTTTTTTCGGTATTTAAGAATCGATTAACAGATTTAATTACTTAAGGTTAATGAGGAAAACGTTAAGAAGATTACCCGGCAAAGGACCGCACCATCATGACAGATTAAGCTGTTTCAGCGGTTAATTAGACAAGAGACGTTATGTCATTAAACCCACAGCTTTTCATCATGCAATTTTACTGTAGCCGACATCCTCGACCTCAGTGTGTTAGCTCGTGCGCAAAGGAAGGTGTGTTACGAGGATGGAAGATGAGTACGAGGTCATTACGCGATTGAATTGTAATTTGTACGTGCGGTGGTGCTTGTGTCCCTAGTACTGGTGTGTACATGTACCACATTATATGATACGGATGGATGCATGCATCCGTCATTATTTAATATTAGGACCTAGTACTAAAATATGTCGCAAAACAGAGGAAAGATCCATGCACAGACTTTACTTGACACCCATGTCACCCTGGGTGCTGAAACTCAGACCGATCTTAAAATTCTAACTACTAGTAGGTGCCTTTTTTTTAACAGCCATCTGTGTTTAAGGGGCAAACGGTTTGATATTTTTCCTGCAAAATTTGACGTGTTACTCCTGTGAAACAATTCCAGGAAAGAGTTCCAAAAACGGACATCACTTGATGCCCTGTGTACAAACGTACATGTATGAGACTTGTCTGAAAAAAAGTGTTTTCTAAGTAAATGCTTCAAAATTTTCTTGGCAAACTTTCACTTTTTAGGACATATTACCTTGTGATGGCTGTTACAATATTCTAAAGGAAAAGCAGTGACCATGTATGGAATCTTTCCGAATTCTATATTTGCCATCACTAATTGTTCTCTGTAATGACTTGGTGGAGCCATCTGAAAGCAATGAAATGTCCTAAAAAGTCAAAATTAGCAGTGAAAATATTGAGGTATTCACTTACAAGTTTTCAGACCAGTCTCGTAGGATGAGTGCACAAGGTAGGCCTATACTACATGTATATATGAATTTTTTCTTCTTTCTGATGGCTATTGGATAGATGCAACTTTATACGTTCATCCAGGAGCTTTCACAAGCCAAGGTCATAGCGAGGTGAAAACATTGTTGATGTAGCGTAGCAGATTGTTTTCACCAAGAAAGGTCACAAAGCTCCTGGATGAAGGCAAAAATTTGTGTCTGTCTAGGGAAAAATTAGTGATGTCTGTATAGGAACTCTTCCCAGAAAGAGTTCTATATCTGGCCACCACCATTGTTGAGTTTGAGGAACACCAATCAGTTAAACCTGAACAATCTTTTCTCAGACAATTCCTATTTTTCCTAAGCAGAATGGGACTTTTCCCCACTACTTGTTTCAAATAAAAATACTTCTTTGTTGGCGCAGGAGACTGGATATGGAACTTTTCCCAGCCCCTTAATGAAACACCAGGGACATCTTTCGGACTGTGGAAATTGAGCTCATACATGTAACTGCAAATGGGAAATCTCCTTTGAGTACTGTAACAGACATTAACAGTCTGTGAAGATGCAAATATTCAAAGTTCACATATTGGCTAATTGAGTAGATTTTGAATCCAAACCCTTTTGTCAGGTGAAAGTAGCATGTCACAAAATGATGGCATGCAAACTTCAACAAACCACCGAGACAGTGAAGCTGCTCGGCACAGCATGTTTGCCCACATAGCAGCCAGCAAAGCGATGATCAAAAGCCAGCAACGAGGCGAAGAAGACCTCAGCCCAAAAGAGAAAATAAGCATCCTGACAGAACTCCTGGACCACAAGCCGGCCATCTTTCTGGAACGCTTCCATGGTTTCCTTCGCGAGGAAGATCTGGACATCTTCCAGGATCTGGTCGGGGACTATGAGATAGACTTCTACCTGAACGAGGTGAGCAAAAGGCTGAACGCCAGGAAATTGCTCACTGGGGTGAGAAACCGCCGCTATGAAGCGCTCAAACAACTCGAGAGAGAGGGCACCTACTTTGAGGACAAGGCCATGAAAGATCGAGATCCACTGATGTTTGAGGAGTACGTTGGACAGTATATGACCGACGAAGAGAGAAAGGGGTTGCTGAAGCCAATTGACCAGAGTGACTTGAGGTTCTCCAATATCCTCATGACTTTCATGGATGAACAGGAAACCAAAGAGTTACACCAGAGACAGAAAGAAGAGGAAGATGACATGATGGAGGAAGAAGAGGAGGAGGATGAAGAGGAAGATGAGAGTGAAGATGATGGTGAGAAAATTTACATGCTCTATCTGGTTAATTCTAAATCAGCAAATTACGTCACTTTTCATACAGTGGTGCACAGTCAGACAGTGTAGTTTCTGTGTACAATGCATGAGTGAACCTCACCTATAAAATGCATTGTTATCAAGGGGTGAGTGCCTACTCTCAAGTGCACTGCTGTCTTACGAAGTCATCACGGATTGCTTCAAAGATTGAAATGCATACTTTGCACTGTTGATTGCTCTAACCATCCTTCATCTTTTAAACCTTCCAGAGCAATAATGCTGTCCTTAAGAGGTTTGCAGTTGGACATTAGAAAACTGTGGTATTGAAAATGCATGTTGTTTTTCATGTAATGATAGACGGAGGTGGAACTTCTTCAAGTGACAGAAGACAGACCAGTGAACTGACCAAGGAAAGAGAGCCCACGCCAGCCACCGAAGAGGAGAAAGCCATGATGAGGCAAGAGTTCCTGCGTCACATGCACCTCCGATTCCTCAGCGGCCAGGAACAGGACTTTGACTACTCGACCGTGGATGGCAATGCCGAGTACGACTCGCTCACACTCAGAACTCAGGATGAGGAAGAGCATTACTTTGATGAGGAAGAGGCAGAAATGTGGAGCGAGGAAGAGAGGACTGATACTGAGCAGAGGGGTGCTTCCCACGATTTTGAAGAATGCCCAACAAATGCTGAACACAGACCACACGACGCACCAGGAACTTCTTGTGAAAAAAAATCCAGTGCACAGCCAAAGGAGACGTCAGACATCAACACAAGCATTGAACAAACCCATGGTATGCCAAGCTGAAGGAATAGAATTATATTGAGACATTGCATCAAAAAGTGGGGGCCTGTTTATGTATATATGTATACATGTAATTAAAAAAAATTGACTGCGCATGCCCCATATGTCAAATGTGCACAAACCTAGACGTACACACCTTGTATCCTACCAGTGGGTTGCTGCTGCTATGTAAGGCTTGTTCATGTTGAGTGTATTGAAATAACTACACAAGCTGCCAAGAATTTATGACAAACGTTAGTAAGCTTTTTAATATTCAAAACCAGAGTATGAATCAAACAAAACCTGATTTTAAAACTTTATTAACAGCCTAAGCATTCATGTATATACATGGCAGTACTAAACCAATGTAGAATGATTCGAAGAAAATTCCCCCAAAACTATGACATCTACAAATAATACATGAATAGGGTCGATACGAAAACATCATGCATCAGCAAAACAAGCTTTAGAAGGGTTACAAATTGTACAACAGGAAAGCTATTTAGAAATTAACATACAAAGAAATAATCAAAACAACAGATTTATTCATTGTGTGGTGGATATGTCTAATAATTTGGTATTGCGGCAAATAAACATACTAATAGATGAACATTATCAAGTACAATATTGTTTTACAGTCTACATTGTACATGTAGACATACATGCACTGTACGTGTACATCCAACCTTAACAGTGACTAGTAGAAAATATGGGATCTGTTACCACCTAATGAGAGTAAAGTCGTATTGCTCTTTCCTACATGGTTTGAGGGTTCAAAGTTCATATTGAAGTGGAGGTCAATTGTGGGGTTTTGTAGTATTTGGAAAGAGTATATCAACCCGTCTCCTGTTTAATTCCAAATATTTCGCAGGGTCACACATTTAAAACTGTCATTTTCTCAGCAACTTTGACAATAGCAATATTCATGCCTGGTCTGAAATCTTGAAACTATGTCGAGAACAAACACGAAAAGCTGCCAGAATAATACCACACTGTCACCGCATACATTTACCCTGTGTTCCATGTACAGTATGTACCACTGGAAAGCTCTTTTTCTGCTGAATTAAAATATACCAATATCTTACTTTTTGAAAAATTCCTCTTTCAGCTCATTTTATGGTGACAGGTCCCATATATGAAGCACTCTCAAATGTTTGTAAGAATCAACTGTTTTGACAGGTAATGCCATATTTGGGTGAAGGGTCATCATACAATAATAGGCCTCTACACTGATGACACCATACTGCACATGTTAATGGTGGTGCTTGGGATACCATCAATAAGATTTCCTTGTGGGGTAATTTACTGTTACTCCACAAGAATTTCACAAAACACATATTTGCTCAAACGGGAGAATTTTCAAGTTTACAGAAGGGACACTTGGATGAAATTTCAACCCAGGAAAATGATTTCGGTTCAGATGGGAATAATTTAAAGACTGCAATTCACACACTAATTGTTTTTATAAGATAAGAACATTTTTTAGATGTGTTTTTGCCTACGGTGCTCAGTGGACTGTGGGCCCTCACTGGCTCCAGGGGAAAGTGTACATGTTAAAGTGTGACGTCATCAGCACATAGGCCTATAGAAAAGTACATTCACAACCACTATTTCTGGCAAGTCTTTGATGTACATACGGAAGGTGATTGTTTTATACATGTATAAGTTGGTCGTATGTACTCGCACATGTTATCATTTGCTGGAAATTGCACTTTCGAGCTTTGCTGTGGTTAATCTCATTCGGTATTTTTAAAAAGGCAAGAAAAACATGCATTTAACAAAAGAAAGTAACCATATATAACCCTGAAACATGATAATAAAGTATCCATGACCATCAAATGTGTTCAATAACAAAGACCAACTTGCAGTTCAAAACCCCTGTAGCGACAGCTATTTCAAGTCAACTGACTGCGAAAGAGGTAGCAGAAAATATTTCAAATTAAATTACACACACAGACCACTGAGCTACATATATATTCTTGCACATCATTAGAACATGACCTTAACCTTCCAGATTCAGTGTTTGCTTGGTTACTTAGGATGCGGTGAAATAAGATGGAATGTTTCTTTGAGACAGGTGCTCAAAACGTAACCATTGCTTTGTCTTGTCTGCAAAAGTGAATGCTCATTTCCTGGCTGTGCAGTTCAAGATTGGGAGTATGTGCTTAGCTTTACTAATTTTCAAACATTACACCGGATCCACCTAAAAAACCTTGCTGTCTATGGTAAGTAGTATTTTAGCTACAAATACTTACCACAACTAAGGTACATGTATGGAGTTAATGGATCCAATAGAAAAATGTTCTTGAAGAATCTTTGAGCTTAAGGTCATGAATTCAAAGGCAACAGTTCAAAGGTCACTCAGGAGTTTCAACTTCAGGGGTTTTCACAAGAAACCACCTTGAACAATCCTATCCCAAAATAATGCCATAAACAAAACTGTACACACACAAAATTCATGACACTGGTCATGGAAAAGTATTTCTACACAAAAGTACCTTCATCCAATTATTATAAGATTTAAAGAGTGTTATCCATTTTACTACTAACTGTCTCGTTTCTCCCAATCTACTCCGTGGATATGGGAGAACGGTGTGATACATGTACATGTACGTGCTCCCAACAGTTATTACATTGAAAAGCAAGCAAATAAAATCTTGGTTTTCATTACTGTCATATAATTATGAACATGTAAGTAGCAAACTCAAGAGATTTTTCTAGCTGTTATGAGAAAGGGCTGATAATGCAGTTTGATATTTAACTCTAATGTACTCTGTAACAAAATATATTTCCCTCTCTATTAGATTAGATACAAAGGTTGGAAATACAGTATCTTAAATGCTAGGTCACATCTAATCAGATTTTACTTGTATGTACACGTATGTTGATAACACAAAACATCAGGCATTCACTCCTACATCTCACTCCAATTTTCCTGTTACTCAATTTATTTCCAGGTGCATTTAAACTCAATCCATGAGGCCAAATAAAAAATAAAAAGCTGCTCCATGTCCCTGCTTGCTTCTTTTTTCCCCGGCTGCATCTTTTTTAATTCAGTATGTTTTTAAATGGATTTCTGACCATGTTAGATATGGCAAAACTCTACCTGTTGTCTTGGGAAAAGACAATGATCTGCTCTTCCTCATCATGAAAGATCTGAGGCAAGAATCTGTTTAATTTTTTTTAACTTGGCTGAAATGAGACATGTGCTTCTTTTACCTTGATTTACAAAAAAAAAAAATTAACTGTGCAGAGATTTAATTTAAACACTTAGCAAGAAACCCTTTTTTTGGGGGGGGGTGTTCAGCTTCACCATTCTTTGTTTTGTACATATACATGTACATAAGCACATGAGAAATAATTACACATTTTTTAATTAAGTGTCTAACCCAATCATTTGAGGGGGTGTTGCAAGTCTTTTCGAGCTTGGATGAGAAAAACGACCTGAAAATATCTTACGGGCATTATTATTATTATTTTTAATTATTATTTGGTCAGGCAAATACATAGTCAGCTTTATAATGACAACTGCCTGTAAACAATTTTTAGGGGATATTTTCTCCACCCAGTCTTTTTTACTTGCCTTATTTCTGAAAAGAGCTGTCCCATGCCCGAGTTTTAAGAGGCGTGGTATGCATGTACAAACTCTCATTATCAGTACAAACTTGAAATTTAAACTCCATCCAAAATATGGTTTTGTTTTTGCAGTCATTTGAATTTCTAGGTGTCGTGTGTCGAGCACTGCACTACTACATTGGTGGAAAGTGTTTGTAGCAGACCTGTCTTGGAAAGTGGGCACTGCACAAGAATGGCACACCTGATTTTCACTAAACTGGTGTCAAAATGACCACAACACATTACTGAAAAAACTCTTTGAGGGCTCAATGCGTATAAAATGTACCATGGCTGTGAGATGGTCCCAAAAAAAGCTCTTTTAAAGTTAAACCATAAGATTAATATTTAATCTGACATTTGATTATGAAATACAAAAGACCAGATGAAACATGCTTTTTTCATAGAGAAGTTGCATGTATGTTTAAAATAAAGACCTGATTATACGTCATCAAAATTTATTATTTCCATTATGCTCTAAACTAAAATTACAATATCACTGATAATGAGTCATAGCTTCTCAACAGAAATAATTTATATTCCAAAAAGAGTCTCATGTACTTTTAATACTGCTTTTATCCAAACTAAAATCAAGTTAATGATTTCATGTGGTTTTTGTGGTACTGAATCAACTTTGTGAAGTTTATTTTAAAAGTATGATATTCCAAAGCCAAAGTGTATCGTATAATGTACCAAATGTGAATGATTTCTTCTTGACTTGGGAAGTGTTCAGTTGGATATCACATTAATATCAGACCATGTAGATTGTACGGACAGGTAATATAATTGCATAAAGTTGACCAAATTGATTAATCCCAAGCATGACAATTGAAAGTGTCTAGTAATGTGTACATGTACATTTCTTCATTTTTTAGCCAATTTGTTCAGAGGCAACTGGACTAGCACTTCACGGTACATCTTTGCAGCAGCAGCTCAGAGTGACAGAGACTGGGTTTCCCTTTTCTATAACTTCCTTCATGAGGGGAAATCTAAAGTAACGTGTGTAAAAGGCATTAGCGTGAGAACCAGCACATGAACCAACATGCGCGCATACTCCATTTATTTGAACTGCACTTCACGGTTCAGATGCTATCATGCTTCGGTATCCTGTACCTAAAGCCCTCTTTTTGCCGGTAACTTCTGATCATACGACCTCCTCCAAAACACCATCAAAGAAACGTGCCAGTGCACAAATCTAAGCCAGGGGTGGGGGGCGGATGGGAATGAAGCTGGACACCACATGACACCGGGGGTGATGTTCATAATACAGAGGTACCAGTACATCTTGTGCAAAACTTACACCCCTTAACCTTAAAACAGAACAGGTAATGTATTAACCACTTCCTGCCGAGGCAGTTATCAATGTTTATCATTTTTTTTTTGTTTTCAAAATTCTTAAAAAATTCCTATCTTCATTTACTGGACACTTACAAACACATGAAGGACTGTCTGGTGTCCACTCTAGCCTGACAGACAAAATCTATTGACGTCTGAGTATGTCAGCCAGGCCTGCAGCCTTGTAAAAAGAGCCCAGATTGTGCCGTGTTATATAACTTTATTTTGTTCACGAATCTGGCTCAGTGTGCTGCTGACCTCTTTTCAATAGGGGTCAGATTAGTATGCAGTGGTGCTGTGTGGCTCATCGCTGCGGTGGTGGAGTGCTTTTGTCCCCAGTGGTAATCCGATCGCTCTCACTGCCCCAAACCGTGGTATACTGTCTCAAAACAAGGCTGGATTATCTCCACTTTTGAGAGTGAAAAAATGTTGGTAATTCCCAGCAGCCTGGTCTTTTGTTCCGAGTACGATCTTTTGTTACAAGGCCCTGTTCCCTTTGTCCGAGTTCGGAGACCCCGATCACGCATATAAAGCATATTTGTCCGGATCTGGAATCCCTGGCAAGGAGTGCTTAAAACAGAACAGATAATGTATTAAAAGCGTTTGTACTTTTTCTCCCCTTAGTATGACTGGGAAAAGTTTCAGTTGTTCAGAAGTTTAAAAACCCTCAGATTTTGCTTTTTTCTCACCGTGAAAAAGTATAAGAGGGATGATGCAACAGTCGATTTCCCCGCCCCCATCCAAATTTGACTGCACATCCCCTCCCTGGGATTTACACCTCTGAAGCTTGCCAAACCTCTAATACCTAGACCCAAAATACTTTGTACATATATCTTAGATCTACAAGTGTCATTCTGACTTCACTGAGTCAAACAGATAGGAGACATCTTGACCAGGCTTGCAGGAAAACTGATTCAAAGTGTTTGGGTGTACATTATGTAGTACATGTAGTTACCTCCAGGATGTACTAAAACCTTTGTCTGAAGAACTCAAAACGTCCAAACTAATGAAATTATTTCTGCAGGGTTCAAAAACAACTAAAAAAACATCAGCTTCCACACATTTTATATTATTCAAGTTCTTTCAAGGGAAAAAAGGAAAGAACTGCAAGCAACAATGCTGAATACATGTAGATAAATCTTGCTTCATGTAATAAAGCTCACAGTGATTAACACAACTACAAATACCAAATATGCAATAATTTGCTGTTTTGTTTTGAATCCTAAGGCAACTTCCTTTTACAACTCACTTCTTGGAGAAGGTCAAGAATTAAATATCAAAATAGCATACAATATTGCCAAGAAAAGTATAAATAAATTGTTCTGCATTGCTTGCAAATGGTTATAATAATTTTGTCATCCTACATGTACATGTGCAATGTGCAGGTATGTATGCTACTGTGTGTACATACATGTGCATGTACATGCACATGTAATAATACCACTATGCATAGTGCTTTTATTGCAATCATTTTCCAATTTGAATACACATCCAACAGAATTTTCCCACTCGTAAAACTTACTGCCACATCTTTCCATTCACGGATATAGAAAAGCTACTGAACAGTGACATATCACTGATGATACAGCAAAAATTGTGTGCAGCATTCTGCTGTGTTCAAGTACATGTACACCACATGGGCAACTCTCTCCAAAACTCCTGTCACCAAATAAATATAGCATCCTCTCTTGTTTTTTTCTCTTCACTTCTTTTTTTCGTTTTGTTTTAGTTTTACAAATAGGAAGATCAAACAAAACTTATGATACAGTTTGGCTGCAAGCGAACCTCAAGCATCAGCTACCAGCACTTGTAGCACCTGTGTTCCGGGCCGGTTCCGGTTCCTTGATGGACGTCTCCAAGGCAAGGGGAGTCAGCCATTCCTTGGGGAGCATCTTCTCCATGAAGGGCAGGCGAGCTCCCACTGTGGCCAGTCTGTTGATCCAACTGGGAATGTCCTTCCGGCACAGGATCTAAGGAGAAAGAAATCCAAATCAGAGGTCTGTGGGGATCCCATCAAAAGCATTTATACTGCACATGTACGTGTACCACGTGACAACACAGTTCCCCTGAGACTGGCCACCAAGTCTGAACGCAGGTTCATACTTTAGGTGAAAGCGAACACAAATGCGAATTGGTGACGTCAGCTCAAATATTTGTACTGCAAATTTTCAAATGTTGAACACAATTCAACCTGAGCAAACTGTTGCTGCTAATCTTTCATGAGGCTTCGCTTTCACATTTGCCCATGGAATTGACTGGCCTTTATACATGTACTTAACGGTGGAGCCCATTTTTATATCAAATAGCCGTAAATTCAATATCAAATGACACAGTGGTCATCATTTGTGTCTTTTATGGTCGTCATTACCATTCTGACACAGTACTGGGCACTTGCTCTATGTTTTTATCATACCTTTTGCCATTAACCCTCCTATGAAAAGATGCATTCTTGACACAGTAGTCCTATCAGTCAAAATCAGTCAAGTACCGGTACATGTAGAAGGCATTTTTGACTGTTTTTGACGGTTACAGCAAAAGGAGGGTTATTACAGCTTTGAAGGTTTATTCATGTACACTGTAACACCACAGTCTTCATTTACATGTACATGTATTGTACGTACTATATAGTGTATAACAATGGTGGATGTATTATAAAGTCAGGCTACATGGGCCAGTGAGGGGCCCAAAATGTGCCCAGTCTGGTCTGATGAGAAGGTGAGAGGGGCTGTGTGGCCCCCAGACAGACAAATGGACCACTGGCTAAAATATCATCCCACACTAAGAGAAGCTGTGCTCATAACAGCATTGGACCACATCCATCCTTGTACATAAAGTTGAGTCAATCACACATCCATGCAGATACTGCACATCACAGGGTCCCTGCAGGTCCATCATCAGTCACAAGCCATTTAAACAGGATGCGTCAAAAGTTCCTGTCATTTTTCACCCAGTAATTGTGAATGGACCTGTGAAGGACTTGAAGACATCACTGGCAGATATATGGCTTCTTTTGCTCAAAGTGACATTATTTGGACACTGACCAGAGCAATTTTGATGACAAAAGCAATAAATAGCAGGGGGGTAGTGTCAAAGCCCAACCTTCCACCTGCTAGGACTTACAATTTATGATAAACTGAAGGCCTAATGGGGCAGTCATGAGAAAAATATTATTGGGGTAGATTTCATCAAAACAGCACGTACATGTACTATTCCAACACCTGATGGTATTAACTCACAATAACTCAGAGCTGCGCAGGAACTAATTTGCTCATGTCTTTGCCTTGTAAACAAGCTGACAAAATACTTCATTAACCCTAACACTCCTCAGTCCTCCAACAGGTGAAGGATTGAGGAGTGTTAGGGTTAATTAAAGGTCCTTATATTGATTGAGAAAAGCAGCAAATCAAGAAAAAGCAGTGAAGTACATTCTGACTTGGAACAACCTACACAGGCACAGTGAATGAAACGTGGCACAGTGAGCTGTGTCATGCACACTACAAACTCTCTATTTATTGGAAAACATAAAATGAACACATGCGGTCGTAAAAAATGTTGCACCAGCTGGTAACGACTACTGAATAATGAGAACTAATTCAATCAATAATGCAACTGGAAATTTAAGGTCATTGCTGCAACCAAACCATGTGCAAACCAGCAATTCTGACAAGGATTCAATTACACCTAAAATAAAGCCAAGAAGCAATAACTGAAAGCCAGATTGGTTGTCTGTGTAATACAGTGTGTTTCTATGGGAAATGTAACACACATATATTATAATCCACACTTTAAGTAATGTAAATGGCACTGCTTGCTTGTGAGTTTGCTATTCGACATACGTTTCACACAAACAAAGTTTTTAATAAACCAAAATGTTGATCGTCTAAGCCTGGTTCAGATAAAAGTGTTGCGTACTTCAGGCAAAAATATGGGAGCTAAGCCCATTTTTAGCGGAACTGATGGACATCCTAATGAAACTGTTTCTGGCATCACAACATTCACTTTGCTTTTGCCTTTATGTGTAAATGTGTAAAGCAATGGGCTTTAATCTCTTTCCTCTCTTTCAATACACAGTATTTGTATAACACTTTCCCGTATTTATCACAACAGTGACGGAACGACTTCTCAAAAGTTTTATAAACAGTCTACTACAAACCACAAAATCGAATTGCTTGGACAGACAGACTTTTTATGTGAGACTACTCAATGAAATCCTGCAGTTGGAACTTGACAGATCTAGTTGAGTTTGAATACTGACGTACATTTAACAAGAGAACACAGAGAGAATGAATGCAAGATGAGTCACACACCTGAACTAATTCCTGAGCAAAGTGGTTGCAGTTTTTGCGTATAAGATGGTACTCATCGCCGGGGTATTTCTTGCCCAGGCAATCCACAACCTTGACGACTGCTTCCTCCGGTAGGTCTGTGGTTCCGAGGGATATGCACTCCCTAAGGCAGGAAAATATTCAGTTAATGCGATAGGACTTTGTTTCGATGAAGGCAGGAAAAAAATGAAACTGATCTACAGTTCACCTCTCTCACAGATCTTTGCAGCTAGGTCATTCCATGAGGTTGGGGCACAATTTGTGACGGTGTTAGTTGTTACATCGGTTATGTAAAAAACAGCTACTTCCCTGCATGTGAACTCCAATTTGACATTGTTTTACATCTTGCAAGGCTGAATACAGAGGTGTGTGTTATTTTTACAGAGTAAATGACCTACTCTACAGGTCACGACAGGCGGTAAAAGTTGCAGATATAACAAGAACGCCTTCACAAATTGTGCCCCAACCTCATGGAATGACCAAGCTCTCAATCTCTGATGTCAGGGTTCAGTCTCATTCAAATAGTTGGCAGCTTTATTTTTTGCCATTGGTTTGTAATGGTGAAACAGCCACATCCGGAGAAAAAGTGCAAGTTTCAGTCACGGCCTGACCTTGAGCATGGCAGACAAAAGAATACATGTACCAAGCAAACTGTAGAACACCATGGCAAACAATCTTAATGGATAGGAATGCAAGCGTACCACAGACGCAAAAGAATTAGCTTCCAGATAAAGGCACCTACACTGTTAAATGTACATTGCAAGGGGGTTGGTGTGGTGCCTTCAAAGATAACACATACTTAAAGCCAAATTGAAATGTAATAAAATAGAGCCACTTTCGAGTTGAAAGCCTTGCACAATGTCGATCAGTAAGAGCCATAACATTCAGTGTATTTAAACCACACAACATCCATTTTCACAAGGATACCCAACCGAGTAAGGCATCAAAGCGAAGAGCTCAGTTTACTCAGTATTAAAAGAAAAAACTACCGGGGCTTTACGACTCATTTTCAGGGATCCAGTCAATTGCACTTGAAGAAAGTGCCAATGGTTTCCTACATAAAAGCAGGTATTCCGGGAGAACGTTGAGGAAGGTTCATATTAGCAATTATGCCCAAGGAAAATGGGCTGATCTTCTGAAACAGGCTTACTTGAATTGAAACTGTTCACCAAGGTCATCACAATCCCTGGGATCAATCTCAAATATTCCAGTAAAAGGGAAGGGGTGGCCACCAAAGGCATACTCTGTTGGAAAAGGAAGAGATTAAGATACATGTACACATGTTTAAACAAATTAAAGAAGATGGGGGCAAGATTTCAATTTTAGGACAACGTTTTGGGTAAAAAATTAAAGAGTATAGGATATTTATAAATTAAACAGTAATATCCGTAGCACCAAAAGCGGCGCTCAGCTTTAAAATTGATGTACTTAACAATTACCGATTTAGACTATGCTAAACAACTTTCAGCAAACACCAAGCTTACATGTAAATGGTGAGCATCCACATTCAGCCAACATCTTGTTTTCCTTCTAGCTAAACCAACTGTTTCTCCTCCACAAATCCTTCTTACATTGCACTTACTTGTTTACTGAAAGTATACTTCAGAATTTAGTGTCTAAATTTTACCACACAGATTATTACCTCTTCCGTAGACCTCAACACCAGCATGGAACACTCCTAATCCCAGTGTTGATGTGTACTCATTGGTCCAGTACTGTAAAAGACATTGTATATCTTCTTAAAAACAAGTGCAGTAATTCCTTATCTTTGGGGATTAATGTGACCCACTTCTTCAAAGCCAAGCCAACAAGTGTACCATAGTTTGGATGCTTGAAAATTCCTCTCTCCTACAAATGATTTTCATATATCAGAGCGATCCAAAATAAACCGCCAAAACTTTGGTTCTGTACTGTAGTTAAGGGCAACGAAAGTTAAAATTGATATTGTTCATGTGTACAGATGCATATTGGTACCATATGTACATGTACATGTACATGTAAGTCTTCAGTTTAGTTTGTCTCATTAACAATACATTGAATTTGTTTCCTTGTAGCACATTAACTTTTAAGAGGCAATCATGTTACTCAGCAGCTCTATGAGACCTGTGCCTTTCTTGTACAGTATTTGGTGCCCTGTCTACACACAGCACTGGAGCATTAGATTGTGCAGTACAGTGCAGGTGCTAGGCCTGTGCCAAATATACATGTATACGAATATTCAATCAATTCTTGCATACTTAAATATTTATTTTTCCATTTGAAAATTCATACAGATAGGTAAAAAACAGCAATATAAAAAGTAAAAAACCTCTCGTTTTTGAAAAGATTGTTTACTAAACTTTCTGCTTCCAAAATTACAGACTAGTCCAGAGTTGTTGTAATGATATTGCATTATTCTGTGCAGTAATAAAAACTGGTTCTCTAGAGGCAAACTTGACTGAAAACGAATATTTGAATATTCAACTGAATTTCAGGTCACATATACCAATAATCAATTATTCGACTCGGCCCTAACGGGTGATGCGGTCATGGTTGGGAGCATGCACAGTGTGTACAATAATCAGCTAGAATTAAGTTCTTATCCTTTGTCCTACATGTACAAGTATGGATGTTCAATTTATACACTGTACATGTATCTTATAAAAGAAGCCAACTGATATGTAATACAAAACTGCTGCAAACTGCTTGCTGACTACAATGACCTAAAATACAAATCTCAAATTATGGAGGGCCTGTCGTTTCGATCCTAGCAGAGTCTTTCTCAAAGGCTAGCCTTCCTTTGAGAAAGACTCTGCTACTGTGCTAGGATCGAAACGTCAGGCCCTCCATATTTTGAGAAGCCAACTGAATTAGACAAAATGTCTTGTTTTCTCCTCTAAAGTGACAAAAATCCAAAAGAGACTGTCATTTTCATGTAGCACGGTATATATGTATTAAAAAAGGTTTACAGTGCATACATTAACATTACATGTAATCTTATAATGTACAATACAACACCATAAATAGCACTTAATAAATTTTATTACATGTAAATCAAATTACATACATCTCCAAAAAAATCTTAGGGTTCCAATAGGAAGCAGGAAAAGATTCAAATGCGTCAACAAAAAGTTTCAGTTGGCATAAGACTTTTACTATTATTCAACAAGGCGAAAGCATGATTGTTACCGTTAGATGCGATATTCAATTCACTGACAATCTAACATGTTAAACATCAGTAGGATAAAGCATTTCCAATAGCGTCTCGCAACCAGCAAAGGTCATAATTTGGTCACATTTGCCAGCCTAATTCATGAGAGTTTCCAAGCCATCGATCACTGAGCTGTGCTTATTGTGTTCTTTTTCTCTCACAAAAAATGAACCTTCATTTCGGCCACTTCATGTACATACATGTATAACAGAAAAGTAATTTGCTGTAATAAAACTCTTCAAACCAAATTATCTGAATTGTCAATATGCATACTGGCACTAACAATGTGTGCACAGTGTTGTGAGGTCCACACATGTACAGCATCACATTGGAAATGGTACATGTACATGTATGTAGGCCTACTCAAACAAACGTACATGTACATACAGTACATGTAGATAGGTAATGTGGTGCACATGATTGAAACCAAATTACAAGGTAGCATACAGCAAAAGTGGTGAATAAATGCTGGTACACTGTACATGTATGCAATGGACCCTATTCACGTGGAGGCCGTTTTTGGAGCTTATTCCCCAAACCTGTTTTATACATTGGAAACTGTCCATTAGGATGGCACCAGACTGGTTTATACATGTACTTCATGCGTGCCAAGCCTCCGTTTCGGAATCTGGCAATGTACAATTCTCTGTGTGCAATCATGAATTTGAAACTATTCATCAGAGTTGACAAGGTGCAAATTTGTCATGAAATTTCATTTTATTGCTTCATTTGTCCTCTCAACATTCACAATTGAAGAGTTAACCTTGCTTTCAAATTCAAGATGGCCGGCCCCGTGAATAAAGTCTACAGGATCTTTAGACTTTGCACACAAACAGCATGTAAAGTATTGCTGAAAGCACAATCAACACATGAAGACTAACATGTACATGAACCCAAAGAACAGCGTATTACTGAAGTTTTTAAAGCCATGGTGGAGTCACATGCTCGCACTACAATGCTGCCTTTACTTGATTTCTCATTTTACTGTACATGTACATGTATGTATCTACATATTGGGTATGTCCATGTTTCTTTAATATGAGCGTACTTGCATTTGTTCCCTTCTGCATGTTCAGAGAGCAACAGTGACTACATATATGAAGAATTCTTAATGCACTGGAAACTGCAGCACTGTAGGAAAGCAGTACATGAGAAACAGTATTAACCTCACCATACGACAGCAAACTGTAAAGCACAACCCTAACCCAGCAGGACTAAGGGAGATGGCAGGTTAGGATGTATACTCGGGATAACATCCCTTTGGTGGGGAAACACCACGCACGTGCATGTGCATGTCCCATGATTTCAAGTACATTTGGCAAGACACACAATACGTCATAAAGCTGTTCTACAGGTCAGCTATTTTGTTGAAAACTAGGGTTTCATTTCTTTGTCGTACAGAGAAAATGGGTGAAATAAGGCACCCAGTAAGGACATCATTGTACGCCCATTATGCCAGGTTGTATAATGTCTGTACGTTTGTAATGGCCTACTCCAATGACAAACCACATTTGGTCAGCAAAGTTGGACTGTGTTCGACTTTGCTGACTATCTGCATCCTTCCTGGTGTTAGTTGCAATTCCAAGTAACCGCATATCAACGCTCTCTGCGTCACTATTCGGTAATGCTTAAAATGCAATTTCTGCCACCCAACTGAATCCGATGCACAGATGCTTCGAAGGCTTGTGCACATTCAACTGAAAATCAGTTGGAAATACTCTACCGCCTTCATTTGCTCCTGCACACATTCCATACATATACTTATGAATAAAGATTCAAAATGCCCCTTACCATATCATACACATTGAGCTTGACTTCTGAAATTGTCGTCACATCTCCATTGGGAACTTGAGAAGACATTATTTGCTGACCGGCCCTTGAGGGCCAAAAGTTTGTGTGGCTGAAATGTAAGGCAGTTCCAGTTCCTTTTAGCAGGTCTGGAACCTAGAGAGACCAAAAAGACAGCTGCATGAGGCACTCCTTTTACAGATACCAGTAATTGTACCTTCTACAGTTTCTATTTAAAAACTATTTGAGGAGAGATAAGGACGCATCATCTGCCTCCAGAAGTTGACAGCCACCTTTCTCCTTGAATGACCTAAACAAGAACAGAGTTGAGTCTCACAGTAAATGCCACCACAGGGAATCCCTGTCCCACTGGCTCGTGTGCAATCTTAATCCACATAAGCTCTGGAATCACTAGTGAATATCGGTACTTGCGTTAGAGTTCAGGTTTTAAGGTAGGGCCAGAGCCAGCATTGAAATGAAAGCACGTACATACATTACTGGTGTGTCCCCTTCCCCTTTCAGACACCGCCCCGCCCCCCAACCCAGTGCATTTTCAATGGCAAACATTCATGGTCTCATTTACCCATGACCATGGCCTGTGCACTGACCCATGGGTAGACTGGTTCTCCTACACAACAAAGTAACATGGAACATTGAGAAGATGGAGCCATTCTCTGTGACTTCCACGTGCAGCAAGTTTCATTCTATTGAAACTTTCATAGACCAACGGTTCAGTCTGTGCATTTGAATGATTGGTCAATAAGCCATTTGCAAGTTAAATTTGAATAAAATCTTGTGCGCTGAGTTAATTGACTGCATATAAACATGACGATTTGAATTCCCCAGACTAAAGACACTGTTGCTGTACCTTGTGATTCGGGGCAAGCTTTCCCATAGCGACCACCATCTCTGGAATGGACTGGTTCCTTTGTGCCCTTCTTATCCATTGACATTAGTGTATTGTTGCAAGGCATCTCCTATCTAAGCAAAAGCTTGCCCAAAATCAGGAGGTATGCCAACAGTGGTTTTAGTAAGGAGAATTGAAGTTGTTATGCTAACGTGAATTTAAAGAACTCAGTGTACCAGATTTGGGTCAAAGTTAACTCGCAAAAGGCTTATTGGACTGTTCAACTGGTCAGTCGCACAGTAAACCTCACACAATAAACAATCCTCTGCAGCTGTGAATCAGGCAGAAAGGGTGATCTCCTGATGGCAGAAAAATTGACAGATCGAGGGTCTCTGAAAGTACACTTAACACCAAACCAGACATGTACATGTAAGAGTCCAACAACAGAAATTCTCTAAACAGAAAGAATGTAATCATACTTTTGAACCAGATATCAACTTGCTCAGCACTCTATTTGCCCTATGTAGTCTAAGGTCATAGTACTGAAGCATTTTGATTTTTGTCACCTCTGGATGTTAGGCCTGGGATGTAGAAATTCAGAATCTGGGCCTGCATTTATGGGATGAGGAGCATTGTATCAAGTTAAAAAATCAGGACAAGACGGTCACATTTTGTTCCAAAGGTCTATTCAGAGGTCTACAAATTGGGATTTATAAGCACAAGATGAATGTGAAAGGTTGTAATTTTGCAGTGAAAATATGGTTTAAAAATAATAATAAAAAAGGCTGAGGTGTCGGAACCATCTGCGTAACAATTAGACCCTAAATGTACCGGTATCTAGTTTACATGTAAATGCAAAGAGCGTGCTCTCTACCCCTATCATGTCTATTGCATCAATTTTCAAGTTAACAACACTTACTATGCTGTAATGTACGTGTATGCCAATTGCATTATGGCTGTAGATCCTAACCATATGTACAGCCAGCCATACAGTGTAAATAAAATACTGGCTGTCTTTACACTTGCGTACATGAACACAGTACAGGCTACATACAGAAGCTATCCCTTGAACTAGTATGGGATTCATCGTGCACAGAGTGGTGTGTGCGATGAAACTCGTAATTCTAGGGACCGTAGGCCTACATCTGTAGATATATGCATGCAGGAGGATGTGCATTCTGATGCACATACACTTGACTACATCATACATGGGCATTCATTACCTTTAGCACACTGTTCTTACAATAAGGAAACAAATTCTACTTTTTCGAAACAGCTTATCTACACAAATTGTTGGTGATGTCATCTTTCGTATTGGAAAGAAAAGAGAACAGGGTTTTGGTTTTTGAGAGAATGTTTGGGGTAAAACGGCAGCGAACACACGTACATGAAAGCCCTGAGTAGCTGTGAACAACGACAGATTAGCGAATGTAGTCTGGTTCCTTGACCTAGATGGAGATTCATTTTGATGAATCCAAAATGCCTGAGTCGGGTAACCAGATGAGAAACAAAATACATGTAGCAAGATTCGACAGAGCAGTTGTCTTTTGGTGAACTCGAGTTAGAAATTTGTGGTTTTCTTGCTTAAATACTGTTAAAATTTACCTAAACTACGCCTACCAAGATTGAGTAATGGTTCCTTAAGGTCAAAATGTTAGTAAGTTTGAGAAAGTGGACTTTGTTTCCTTAGAACCAATTTGGTATTTCGGTCGTGCATGCGCCAACTGGCCTTGACAACCCTTTTTTGGGATAAACAAACCATTCCGCTCCATAGCAATGCACATGTTTGCACCTAGTAATTTTTTGTCTTGCCGTTCTAGTTTGAATTTCTCCAAAAGTAAAAGATGCTCTACAGAGTGCCTGGGCAGTTTTGGGATATAGGCCTATATGAAAAGTGAATAAAGATGTTTGTGCAGTAGGGCCAAGGGCAGTGGAATGCTTTTTGATGAGCCTGTATAAAGGCCCATTCAGACTACCATACTTCACGCGAAAGCGAACGCGAAGAGAATTTGTCGGGGACACACGTCACAATCGAAGTTTCACACTGAGGTGTGCCCGCGTTTCAGGCAAAAAATTTCTTTTCAGTTGGGCTTGTTCGGGGGCGTTGCGGCCTAGTCTTTGGTTGTGTCTCAGGTACTACTCGGGCATGAAAAAACATAATACCTGCATGCCGTGGCGCACATATGATAAGCACGATTGTGGGCGATGGTTATGAAACCTGACCTCTTTTGATCATAGACACATCGAAGTGGCCCTCTAGTTGGACCAAAAATTGTTATTCAATTTCCGAAACTTCACAGATTTTCTTGTCGGTCCAGGCCAACTCATTTTTCATGAATAGCGTCCAAATTAACCATAATTCTAGTTCATAATTCAAACCAACATCCTGTCCCAGATGGCAGGGTTGGGTCCGAGTTGTCCGTTGTTGGGTCCGAGATGTCCTGGGTCCGAGATGTGCTGGGGCCGAGTTGTCTTGGGGCTGAGTTGTCTCGAAACCGTTGGAGTCAAGATTTCAAGATTCATTTATTTTATATTCTACAGCACAATAATCACACACAATAATAGAACTTTTAATAAATACATAAATGTGATTGAATGATACTGCAATACCTTTAATAGAAAGGATACTGTTGAGGGGTACACAATGAAAGCAATGCTTGTAGATTTGGGCCCTGTTTGTAACATTACTTATTAAATTACAAACACACACACAAACCACAAAGACAGACAAAACAAGTAAACATGTAGTTGCAAGTATGTGTAGCCTGAAACCAGCATGGTAGGCCTATGTTAAATTAAGATATAGCCTAAAAGTTAATTGCCAAAAACACAAAAATATGTGTCATGCGTGTATGTACGAATTAAGAATATCAACATGTATTTAACAAAAAGATCTTATATTTCTTTTTTAAAGCTCCAAGAGTCGAGTTCCAACGGACTTACAGAATGCCAGTCAGTGGATTCAGATGGTGAAACAGTTCACTGTCGAAAATGCCCCTCCAAACTTGTTCAGGCCGTTTCACCATTCACAGAATCGCCGTCACGTAATGTAAGTTACGTGTAACGATACTCAACACGTCACTCGATAATTCAGCGTTTACAACAACAGTGCCTGTGTCCGACCAGCAGATAATGTGTCAGATTTAGTCAGATACCATTCCTATTATTCACACAAAATGAAAAATCTCTATTTCGCGAAGCGAGATACCAACCACTCCTTCGTAGTCACTATTCGTAGACCCTACTGGTTTTATGATTCATCCAGTCATTCTAGCATAGCACTGGCGATAGCACGCACTGTGTATACTTGTAGTAACCTGACATAGCGCCCTCTTTGCTCTAGGCATAGCACGCTGAGGTCAGTGAGCCACTAGTCTGGTTCCCTGCCAAACGATTCCCTGACGACTCGACTCTGGCTAAAAAATCTTAGGGGTGCAGTGCCCCAATTCAAGAAAACTTCTCCGTCAGACGAAGGCGCACAAAAAATACCCCAGAGATTCTTTCGAAAAGAGGGGTCTGTTTGGGCCAAGAAATAGTGGGATTGTGCTAGTATGGCCCGGGATTACCTCTGTAGATTCAGGGGCACCCACCTGGGGGCAAAGCAGAGAAAAATGTGATTAAAAATTTGTCAGAAGAGCCCGAAGAAGGTGGGGGATGACCTTTGAAAAATGGCCGCTGAGAAGGCTTGGGAACATTGACTTTTTGGGGAGTGAGTTTGTTTTTGGCGGATAATTAAAAAATTCATNCAAATGAAATCTGAAGGACCAAACAACACATTGTTTTTTGCTTGAGAGGCCTCAGGGACATCAGTTGCCTGCCCTGGGGCTCCAGACTTGGTTGAGTTTATTTTATTTTCAATGGAGCTTGAATTGGTTCTGTGCACCGTTAGGTCGACATCGCCCACGGATATACATTGTACATAGATGTGACGCAAGGGCGAGGGTTAATATTCTGCATTTCGCCTGGCATTTATTTAGGTCAAAGTGACCTCCGATTTCAGTGTAAAGTCAAATAATTATTGTAGGATCAACAGCTGCCATTAGGATATGGGAGTTTACGTTCAACAGCTAGCCTACCATCCGAAATGCCGAATATCGACAGGACAATTACTTCGGAATATTGCGGCTACATGTATTTCCGGATCCTCCAGTCTTGGTCGCCTGGAATTGGGTGATACCGGACCCTTGATTCGTAAACTAGTCAGAATCACCGGGCCACTATTTCTCCCTGTAAAACAAAAGGGTGGATGAATAGGGACTTTTAAAACTATATATTTTGTCCAAGGCGAAAAAATAAACCAGATATTTGTTTTAATTTTAGTTTGTGAAATTCACTCCTTTAGTTAGTTATACTTGTCTGCTGCTGACAATGAAGTGATAAGTTGCAGGTACACGTATTTGGAAAAGTCACTTTTGCGCGTGGGACCGTTTAAAAACATCTCTCGAGCATCCCAGCGATGACATTATATCCGCGACAGACTGTTTCAGCAATGTTCTAATTCTGCGCCCCCGTTAGATAATGAAACACCACCGTTGAGCACGTTGTGAGGATAACTCGGTTTTAAGCTGATTGAAGGCGTTGTTGCCTATCTGAAGTGTGGCCTTGATGTGATCCTTGCACCTGTACCCCGCTGTCCAGTTTGAGCTCGCAGGAGTGACGTGGAAATTTTTTTAAGTACGACATGCCTTTTTGGTTTTCTTTGTGGTGCTCACGTCATCTTGCACAACCAGGAATGCGAGCCATTCCGTTATTCATGTTACATAAATTCGCTCTCACTCAGTCAAGCGACATACCCCATCGCTTCCTCTTCATTACCGACCGGTTCAAGAGGAGTGCGCCACCTCCGCTGAGCGTCCGGGTTGCACCCTCGTTTCCTCCACGGAGGTTTTTCGTGGCCACCCAGTAGCATCATAAACTGCGTTGCCCAGACACGCAGCATAGAACCGATACCGTTATCGCTGGAGACAAGTAGATTTTACAACTTACCCTTCTTTGTATTATTATTTTCACTCATCTGATATTTACTTTGACGACATTAACGTCGCTGTATTCATTTATCTTAAACAATATTTGCTTTAATTTATCAGGTTGAATCTTTTGCATTATTTTGTAAGGCGATTTGCCGTCACGTTCCAACCATTTTAGTTGATTACTTGCAGACGTGTTTGTACGTCGTTATACCCATACTGTGGTCTATTTTTCTTTTTTCTTATATCATCTAATAATGTCGACCAACTATACGCAGGCTTCTGTTAGCGATCCATCCATACCTGCATTGGCACAATCCATATTGCCGTCACTTTGATGTCCGCTTAAGCCGAGGCAATACCACCAACAAATACAAGCGTTCGTGGGAGAAGTGGCAGATCTGGGCATCATCAAAAATAGAAATCACTATAGTGATTCGTTAAACTGAACTCTCTTCGTTTGCACTACTTTCCCGGTCAATCCATTTAACTTCTCCCTCTGCATTTCTCATCTCTCTACTACTGGGCCCACGTCCACTTCTAATCTGGCCGTAGCTGCGATCAAATGGGAAGGCCTACATAGTTTAGCCGTTATTCCTTCACTAAAAGACCGTCAAGATGGCTTTTCAAGGCTTCACCGACCATAAGGAAGGAGCCCATAACACCAGATATGCTGGCACAGTTTCACCGGGACATCCTTCTGTAACATTAGCAGACCTTTAATAGAACTCTCTTCGTTTGCTTAGTTTCTTATGCCGGTTGTCTTCGCTTCGACGAATTGAACTTCACAAGAAAAGATCTTCGGATCGGCTAACTGTACACCTTCGCAACTTGATCTAAATCGGACCACGTCGGCAAGGAGCAGAAGTTATAATCGCAATAACTCATAGTTGGCATGTCCAGTGCTCGCAGGGGGTGGGGGAGCTGTTCGCGTTAGGCGACCCAGCAGGTAATTCGTCTCTACCCGTACCTTCCGTTTTTTTCAGTGTGTGTGTGTGAGGGGCACCTGGGGGCACTGGGAATTTGTAGGGGGGAACGTGCCCCCCGGCTACGCCACTGGCCTCTGCCGCCTTCAATGCTAATGTTCCACCATTTTTAATATCTAAACAGGGCAGGTGGAAAACAGAAAGCGCAGGGAAGACATATTCCAAGCTATAAAGACAGATTATAACTTGTTAGCTTCTAAAAGTCTCGGCATTTGAATTGAGTTCGAACAAAATTGTCATTGCCATTCTCTATCCTTTTGTTACAAGGCGAAATTACAAACAAAAAGCTGCGATGAATGATTCGCTATCAGAAACAGCACTGACCGCAGTAATGAAAGATTAAGAGTTACTTATACAGGGTGTCCACATAATAAGCATACCGAGATAAAAGTTACTGTAATTGCAAAACTACTTTATATGTATATGGGAAAGAGAAATATATCTCTAGAAAGGAGGCCTCTTTGAAGTGGAATACAGCTAAATTCATCCCGTCAAATACCAACAGTACCTTAGCCGACCGGGTAAGCTCTTCTGCTGGGGCTGTCCAGGTGAACGCATTAGTACAGGTTCGAGACGTATGGCCGACTCGGGCGGCCAGAGCTTTAGGGGCTTGTCTCGTTTCGTCGATTGAACCCTTTTGGGGGTCAAATGGATGGGCAGGGAGGAAGTGTGGTGGGCGGGAACCCCGAGACCCCAGAAGAGTCCTATATGAAAGCCGGTAACTGCGAATTTCAGTTCCTAAAAATCAAATACAAGTACTGACCATTCCATATTTCCATAGTTATTCTTCATGAAAGCGGCATGATAGATACCTTAAGTTGTTTCTGTATACAAAATGGGCCCTTCGCATTACGCTTTAATTTTGCAGTTATGGGCAGCAATGCCATGGTACATCGTCTACGATGCACTCCTGCAAAACAGCTGTTGTGAATTATATATAACGGGTTTGCCCGTTATATACATCTAAAAATCTAAAAATACATCTTGAAAAAAGCTATTGTGACCATATAGGCCTGTGCACAATACAAAATTGATAATTTTGTTTGTTTGTTTGTTGGGGTGTTTGTTTGTTTTGTGTGTTTTTTCTACAATTTGCCCGAAATGTACGTTTGTCTTGTCTATACTTAACAGTCGGCTGTTTTCCACAAACAACGCCAGAAAGCACACACCAAAAGGCACGGTAGACACAATGTTGGGGCGGTATGCGCGCGGTCCATGCTCCGGCTGGTCATGACAACATCTGGACCATGGAGAGTGGAGGCTGGATGGCTATGAAACTGGGAGTTTCACAGAATGGGGGTACCAACCACAAAGGCACCGCCGCGCCGGTGAAAAATAACTGCAATGGGTGTGCGCAATCAAAGAAAACATTGTGTAACCCAGCTGCAGACTGCGTTTCAGACAGTCACGCCGAACTAAATTAAATGCAAATATATGAATTAAGTACGGCAAAAGTTCGACGTCTGAAACAATTAGAGCGACGAGGTGTGCTAACAGATGAAAGATCAACACTTGGAGGCGCTCGGAAAGACAGCAGAACGACTTCGTTTCAGACGTCACTCTTTTCGAGGGCCTAACCCAATGCAAATGTATGTATTAAGTTCGCCCGTCTGAAACCAAACCTTAATTGGGTCGACCAGAGTCGTCCATACTTTTATTTGGTCCTGCACTGCCCTATAAATACCCGTATGAAACGGGTGGTTCTGACTGGTGCGCGCGCGTACGTCACCATGGTCGCGGATGTCCGCACTGTCCCATTACTAAGTGTCGCAACAATTTTGTGCTGGATTGTAATTTGTAGATTCACTGTCCACTAGGAGAGACTATCACTACCTTAAATTTACTAAGGAACTTTTAATAGATCAACAGTGTGATTCTTTGTTCCCTTCAACTAGACTGCCTACCCAGGGATTAATCCTCCGAAGCCCAATGAATACATGTAGCCTATATCGATCACCCCAACTAAAACGCGCCGTTTCAGCAATTGTATTATATTAATCTTATCAATTCTAGTAGCCGTTGAGGACTTTGTGCCATTTATCCCAATATTCACCATTGCAAACAGAATCAGTGTCCAATTTTGTTCTGACATTTTGTCCAGTTAACATGAGATAAACAAATAGAAAAGAAATGAAAATTCTGACGGCAGAACGGAGGAAGAAACTTATCGTACCGTGTAGTCAACCCATCGCAGCTGATGTTACTGAATGGTCGACCCCAGTCTGGTAACCATGCTATTGGTTTGCTGAAAGAATGAGTATTACACTAGGAGGAATCCCAGGCGATTCTTGGGATCCACAACAGACATGTCTTGCGTCCACTAAGCAACGTGGAAATGCTTGGAAGCATGACTGCACTCGACTAAAAAAAGACACGGACGCTGAGATGGCCAAAAAGCCAAGGAAGTTCCCTCTTTTCCCGGTGGATTTAACATTAAAATCGCACTTTGCATGCAGACAGGATGGATCTGAGGCATGGGAAGCTCACCAAGGATACTGATTGGTTTGTGCCTATTAAGATGGATATGCAGACGCCATCTCCAGTGTATACCTCTGGGGGTCTGAGCTCACATGTCCTGCATGGTTCTGGGTCACCTTTGGGTAAGGCGTAGCAATCGCGTCAGGGTGACGACATTACAATGGGACCATTAGCCCCAGACGGCAACTCGTTTAGTAAGAGGCGCGCCCCAACATCAACCCTCCTTATGGTTGGTTCACGCATAAAGACGTACACAAACCGTGGCAGACCCGGCAACCATGCACAGCTTCTAATCGTCCTGGGACTCCCCCGCTATAATTATTTGCAGAGAATGCGCATTTCACGGCCAAATTCAAAATTCCCAACTCAGACAGACAGACAGACAGACAGACAGACAGACAGACAGACAGACAGTCGTAAGGATGACATATTTCCGCACTTTTCAAATCTCGGCTGATTAAAAACATAATACGCAATGTAAAAGCACACGGGGAGGAGGATACCACACTTGAACCTTGCTTAAAATTAAGCACGTATACGGGACCACTTCAACGCCGCTGCAGAATAGATATCCACAACCCCATCCGCTCCCAAACCCTGATACGCCACGGTCAATTAACGATCATAGCCTAAAAGACAAAATCTCCGAATGCATGGTAACTCGGGCACAAATTCCGTATGAGGCGGGATATCTACAGCTTTTATTTTGGTTTTTACCGATAAGAGTATACATACATCAAACCCTCAACAGGGGTTAATTATCAGGGATATAATAAGCACTTCTACATACATTTAGCCGACCAAAAATAATGCCAATCTCAAAACCCTTAGAATGTAAACTACATTCAGGTTTAGATACATGCTTACAGGTTAACGCATTCTGCAAGATTGAACTAAAATCCGTTTCAAGGGCGGAGGGGGGGGGCAACGGGGACCCAAGGTCATGGAGCCAAAAACTAATCTCAAATTAAAGGCAAATTTTGGGGGATCTATTTCATTTCCTTTCCTTCCAAAAGTGTATGATACACCCCCCCCCCAAAAAAATATAGCCGAAACACTCAGTGAGGCCATAAGGGTTGCATGCAATTATTTCCATTTTTGGTACCCTCCGAGAAATTGGTTCTGGATCCATCCTTGATCTTCCCATAGCTGTATTAAAGTAACAGTGATAAACAGCTAAAAATGTCATCAGTGACAAAAATCATCACAGACTGTCCTACCTGACGTGTTCAAAAACAGAATCGTCCTCAATAGTTTACAGCTATTGTATAACTTCCCCAATTATTATCACAAGCACAGCCAATGAATAATAAATATCCGAAAAATAACTTACAAATACGATTTCAATCCGCCCCACCACGGATACACAAAGAAAACTGAATAAGAACAGGCCCTGTAAACGTTTTAGAGTTTGCCTATTATTTTCAAGGGCTTTGACAAATTTTGTTTCACTAGGTGTGTTAACGTATCGCTTCATTTCAATGGTAAACAATGTAGATTTGTTTTCTTTTCAGAGACGATGAGTAGATATCGCTCGTGGCTGGCATTATTTTCAGTCGGCAGCCCTTTGAAGTTAGGATATTGCAACTGTCCGCGCGCTAAAATTTACACAATTTTTTTACCAGGCGTAATAAAACATGTATACAGCAGATACCATTCTGTGCTACATGTCAACCGCTAATAATTTGAATTAATGAAACGTGCATGCGTTTAAAACATTTATACGGTGCCGTTACGATCAGTAGCGTATACTTCAAAGGATTTTACTGTTAAAATTGGCAACACAAATCCCAGTCACATTATAAGCTTTTGTGTGACAGTGTTGACAAAAAGCCATAAGCAAATCAACATCAAAGAAAATTTACGAAGAAATGTACAGATATTTATATAGAAGATTAATACAGTATGAGGAATAATACAGAGGCTGATAAAACAGTTTGGCACACATATAAAAAACAAAAACAAATGCTTTATGTCAAAACGCTTTACATTATAAAGTTTCCGTTACACCATAAATAGATGCACCAAAAATATATAACATACTTAAATGGTCAGGTACCAGGAAGACAATCATGTAGTCATTTAGGACATTATAACAAACGTGCATGTTGATACTGGGTTTCATCTCGCAATCGAATGGTGCATTTGACTGCACGAACTACACGGCCAATGAACGATGGAGATTTGGTATCCCTACTGGCCTATTTTCCCAAGGATAAGTAGAAATCCCGAACATTCCTAGTGAATCCATACGGTAGGGTGTAGTCTCAGTAACACTGGACATACTTAATTAATTCATAACTGGACAACATTCCAGTCGTGTTGGGGTCTTCCACGAGGACTTCGTTGTTCATTGCGCGTGTACAAAGTGCAACTCAAATATTCAGTCCATCCACAAAGTAAAAAGCAAATACTGCTGGTGAGGAGACCATAGCCACAAGAAAGTGCATGCGCCGATTTACACAAGAATAATAACAATATCTATTATAACTTTATAATACTTTGTCTTCAAGTTAATAAGTATATGCGTACTGTTTCACATATCCGGAGTGCGGTGGTGTTCTCCGCTAGTCCCGTCTGCGCAAAATGGTCCAATGCCATGTTCCATGATATACGGTCGAATTCCCTGGCTATGACGGTATGCATAGAATGGACTGCAGATGCCACGATGATTATGGCCAAGTTATTCCAAATGCAATGATGTAGGCAGCGTGCTTAGCATCGCCGATGCAGCTGAAACTGTTGTCTTTCCCTTTACCGTTGATACGACCGATAAACTGAGATATTAAACTGTAGACGCACATACTCCGTAAAGTCAGTCTATTTACAGCTGCCAAGGCGGTAGTTCGTCGCGTTTTCGTTGTACGCAGTCGCTACGGGGCTACAATGTCTCCAGTTTTATTCCTTAAAGATCAAGAACGCAAAGAGAAATAGGCAGTTTCTTATTAAAAAAATGCATCGGACACCAGTATCCTCATAATGTCCACAGTTATGAATGCCAACACCATTGTGCCTACAATCGAAAAGAGTCTCTTCTCTGCCTGTGCAACCAACATCAAACTTGGAGAAACTACATTTTGTGTATCATTCGTTTCTCAAAATGGTTCAGCTGATTCTTGCGTAGGCCTGTTACATCTATTGTAAATTACATGTGTATTGGGACCGCTCAAGGTCCAGCATACACTCACCTCGTCCAGGCATTTGTACTGGAGGTCAGAGAAGAAGACCATCTCTTGTGAGAAGCAGAACAGACCGATGCGTCCACCCTGTAACGTGAAGTCGTAGAGGGCGCCAGAATCCGCTAACACCTTGCTACCCTCGTACATGGTAACTCTGTTATCGGAGGAACAAAGAAAGCAGGAACGTTAATTTGTCTTCGTAACTCAGCTGATTCTGGAAGACCAAGTAAACAAACTGAGCAACAACTCCACAATGTTAACTTTCTTAACATCCTGGCCGAGTTTTACATTTAAGTTTCTCAGAAAACTCAAACTCAGGTTAAAAAAAGTAATCAGCTGAGTCTGAAAAAGAAAATATGCATTACCTTTCGAAATCTGCTTAAAATCTAAATTTTCAGTACCCAAGAAAAATATCAGCCTTCCAGTATAAATAAGACAGATTTTTTAGGACAGACTCGTCTTCGCAGCGCCAGAAGTTCTTTTTAAAAAAAGCTTTAATTTATGATTTGTTTGTAAGAAAAAATATACATGTACATGACGAACGCGAGCTACATATCGTTTCTGAAAAGAAAAAAATTTAAACAAGCACATTAACTGTAATTTTGATCGACAGAATCCCCCAAATAATCGTCGTGCACAAAATCGAACATTCCGAAATCAGGAGGGTCAATATTTGTACATTTCCCTCCACTGGTGTTACTTTACTGTAAAGGCCTTCTACATGACGCTAGGCACACACTGGCCGCTTACCTTATGTAGCCTGTCTTCGGTCTATGCGTTAGGATCCATCTGTACGCTGTGAAATCTTTCCAGCCTATTTTATTGGCGTCACTCCAGATAAGCTTGACCTGATTTAACAGAAACCCAAAGAGAAAGGTTTAGAATCACTCCATAACAGAAACTACTGAAAGGTGCCGAAAGGTTTTCATTTATAAATAACGTCGTCTGGATATTACTCTCCACAGAACAATTAACAGCATCCACCCTGCTTTGGACACGGTCCCAGCACCTGTTAAAGGTCAGCCTTGGCAATGGAGGGCTTGTGATAAAGTTAACTTTCACGTATGAAACCAGGAAATCGACCTCGAAGTGTTGCACTTGAAAGCTGGTTCGTATTAACGTTGTACCGGATGTATGAAGGGTGGAGGGAGTGACCTTTGCCAACCACGCGCCGTCTGAATATGCCACATGCCTCAACTGTGGGCAGCGCCTTATCTCTAACGTGCACTCATGCGCATAGGATTGGGCGTGGTCATGTACACGGATTCAACAGTTCATCTACATGTATGATCAAGAATACGTGCTAATTAGTTTGTCGCCGCTTACAGGTGTTGACGTGCGTAAACGTTACAATTGACGAGCTGACCACGGTCGAAAACCTCCACATTCTCTTGACTGATCATCTAGGCCACCGGTCATACCGGTGCTCTAGTAAATTCCAATTTCCAAAGCGGCAATGACTTAATTGTGGGTGATTTATCTTAATTATCTCGTTTGCACAATCTATCGAACAGTCAGTGGATCTCTTAAAAGAAGATTTGGAACACGCTAAGTGTTTTGGTAGAATGATTCATTTGTAGAATATCATATTGCGTTGTTCACTCCCCTTTTAAAACTTTTTCATGACCTTTTTCATTTGTAACTGCTTTTCCCTATTGGGTTTGGCTTTAATATGTTGTATAGTTGTATCATAGAGTTGGGAACACAGGTTGTATATAGATCTGTTTGCTTTTTATAGTATTTTTGTAATGCCTTTGCCTTTTTGGTTGTTGCTTGCGGCTGTGTGCCTGCTGGCAATAGCGATTAGGGTCACTTTCTCAGCTCCTGTCATCTTGTTATCTTTGTATATTTTTGTATTGTCCTTTGTGATGATGACAAATAAAATAATATGTATAATGTTTGGCATTCTCACGCCGACATCAGATAAAACAGCAGGCACGTAGATAATTCCACCAAGGTACCATGAAGGAACTTGTTTAATGCATTTTTTTTACTCGTTCCACATTCTAGTGACAGTTAAGGCGTTTCGTCTTTGATTACAAAAGGCCCCGGCTCATTCAGGTAAATTCGATATTACTACTGGTACCCACCTGATCTCCTGTGTCTCCAGTATGCCACAGCGCATTTCTTAAATATTCCCCAGGACCAGTTGTTGAGTTGATCAACTGAAAAGAAACATAATTTATGAAAAAAACATCATCAAAAGATGTCTACAATGTACAGGAGTGACTCGAGGGCTGAGTTCGGACGGCTTGTTCTCGTATATTCGCGAACAGCTCGATTTGTTGTTCGTGGGTCGGCCGCTCGAACACCGGGAAAGTACAACCGGTCATCGCTGGTAGTTAGTGGCAAGCAACATAAACGTGGCAGCGTTCATGTACGTTCTTCGAGGATTAATGTTTGGATAATTGGTCTAAATTCTTTTCTGTTTAAAAAGGACATTCATTTTTGTGTTATTAATGTAAATTTAACAAAACTTCCCATTGTCTGGAGCTTTGTAAACCATCTCGCTACTTTTTGCAGCTGTTAAAAAAAAATCTCATGAGTTTTTTCGTGTGTTCCTGTAAAACCTTAACGGGGAGGGGGGGTGTGATCCTGTTCCGAGAATACTGTTCCGTGTCGTGTTCCCACCGTTCGAGCGCAAGAGCAAGAAACCCGTGTCAAGAGAAGAGCACCAGAACTCGACCGAGGTGTCTAGCTTGTTTGGTAAGTATAGACTATATCAGCAACTTTTACCGGGTGACCATAGAAAATGCTTTGAGAAATAAATACAATTCAGGCTGCTTAGGAAAGCGCTTTGGGTGAAACATCGACTTGTGATGGTTGGTGACCTAAAGAGAACAGCGGCCCCTAACCACGTCCAAATAGCGTGCCAGACCAATTTGGTCGCTTTCCGGGCAGGGGAAACCCGTCAATGCCACCGTTCGCTGGCTGTGCTTTATCGCTGTAGCCCCCTAGGCGGGGGGCCCTGAAAGGATGTCAGAAATTCCCGTGCGCAATCCAAACTTCCCCTGGGGAAAGCTCCACCTGTTCCTCATTGCAAATGTGTCCGTCGTCTGCGGCCAGTTTGTTTTAAACGACCGGCCGCTCGAGTACTTGTATATTTGCTCTGCTGTCTCTTCGGAAGTAATCTATTTACGCGAAGCCAAATTGCCCACTCAGGATTCAATCATATACCTCATCAATTTCACTTTGCAAAGTCATGCGAGCCAAATACATTTTCCGTTGAGCAGCATATGCAGTGATTAAACCTGACTTGGTAACTTCAAAGTTTCACCAACAGTGCTCGTTACATGTAGCAAACGTTGTTCCACTGAAATTATCTTTCGTTATAAAATCCGAGGTTCGATCTCGTTTAAGAATCTTTTACTTGTTGCTCCTGTTTTGCCAAATAAAAACATTAATTCAACATTTTTAAATCGAAACTGCTCGTTGTAAATCTTCAGGCAGTGGTGACAAAACCAACACTCAAAAATTTGAAGAAAACAAAACAAAACAACGGAACGGTGCGTGGTAACAATTTGTCCAACTGACTGGGTACGTTAACATTGATGTAACTTTTCAAAAATTATCGTATTGACATCTCTCCATGTTGTGCTACTATTGGTGCATATCTGCGTTTACATTTGGACAATTATTTCTCAGGGATTCGGATTTAATTGTATTTCTGTGGTTATCCAGATGCGACAACTCTCGAGAGCAATCGAGCCTCTCACCTTGAGCTGAAGACCAGCCGTGGCCTCCGACATCGTGGGCATTGGTTCCCAGTATTTCTGCGTGACTTGCTTCCACATAACGGAGTAGAACCGATGATTAGACTGGTAGCCGAACACAAAGCCAGCGTAGTCATCGTCTCGCTCCGTGTTAACGTAGAAAGTGCCGCTGAACTCGACCGCTGTAAACTCGTCGTAGCCTGGAAAGCAAGACCACGAAAGACGTGAAATACGGGAGGACAACACAAGAGAAAAGTACAAGAAAAACTCATGATTGTGTACAATCACTTTAATTGGCTTCTTTTTGCAGACAGCTTGAAAAACAGTTGGACTGAATAAAATCTAAGATAATTAATTCTAACTCCTGATTAAAACATCAGCCTCGGGCAATGGAATTACAATTTTAACAAGTGAACTTACTGTGTTACTGTATACATTTTCAACAACACGTTACTTAAAATGCTTATTGCCCACAATTCTGGCCAAATCCTCTCTAAAGATGGCCACATTTTACACGAATTAACCATATGGTGAGGTGAAAATTTATCGAACTATGTATTTCATGCCAATCTTTTGCGCTATAAAATAACATTGCCAAACAGTACTGGAATTGCCAAACAGTACTGGAATTTGGGATAAATTCTCCAACGCCAATGATTAACAATACGTTGTAATGTCTAAAACATTCTGTCCACCCACCTATTGCGAGTCCAGGGTCGCTGTTGATCGTCTGAACCAACTCTTGGCCTCTATTCCTGACGATCCAGTGAGGGTCGATCTGGGCCGAGCCCTCTGGGTCCAGCTTGATCAGCTGGAAGTGCGACAAATCCGTCCGCTGGATGTTGGCGTTGTTTGGACAGGCATCTTGAAGATCGGTCACGCCATCGCCGTCGTTATCGTACTCACACGCATCACCGCGGCCATTCTCTGAATCAAACAGATTCGGCCGAAGACAAAAAAAAACATGTAAATCACATTCTCTCTGTCTTCAAAAATTGTCTACTTCAGTTGTTATGTATTCAGTTCCGGCCTTTCTTTGCAAAAATTCGGACATCAAATCTCAGCTTTTACCGTCTGCAGTCACAACGTTGGCTTTATTTTTAGATCCATTCAACTAGGCCCATTTCTCTCTCTCCATATTTTTAGACATCTATTTTTAAGGGTTTACAAGAAATAAAGTTTGGCGTTTGACAATGGCGAACATGTACTGCGTTTTCTTATATTTCAAAGGAAATGTAGGAATGGGTGCGTCCTGAAAAATGATTCATCATAAGAAACAGGGTGTATTCAATTAACGTGCCGTTACACACCGTTTGTATCATTCTGACTTGGGTTGAATATCAGACGGCAATTATCGTCGACATCTTCAATGCCGTCGTTATCATCGTCCATGTCACAAGCATCCCCTGTAAATCAATAACAGGAAAAGCAATTCATTATAGTGTAATTCTTAGACTGAACACTCGATATCTAGAAATAAATGAAAACTATCAGATAATATTTCAACTGTGAAGAAAAAAACGAGATGAATTTAAATGAGGCTTACCAATGCCATCCTGATCGTGATCTGCCTGATCGCTGTTGGCGATGTTCCAACAGTTGTCCAGATCATCTTGGTGTCCATCATTATCAATGTCCCTGTCAGTGTCGCAAACGTCGCCAACATTGTCATCGTCACTATCAGTCTGCAATAACATGACACAAGGATTAATTCACGATACACGACCACGTTATTAGCGGTCAAAGTTGGATAAGTTATGAACTGAAGAAAACTTAACCGAAATGAATAGACACAGCTTAAAGTGATCGAGAGAAGGAATGCTGGGATAGCGAACATTAAAACACAGCGTAAAGGAGACTTGCTTGATCTGGGTTGCCGTAGTCTGGACAGTTGTCGCATACATCCCCATAACCATCTTCATCAAAGTCAAGTTGTCTGGCATTCGCTACGAACTGACAGTTGTCCTCTTCGTTCACTATGCCTAATGGAGTGAAACATCCAAATTAACTCTCCTATGATCCATGCTAGTCTAAACTAAAACCCAACTCTTTAAAGTGCACATCATAGTGAGAGTGACTTTGTCTTTTTGAAGGCGGTGGGTGACATATACTCTCAACGAAGCACCAAGTCTCGAATTAGACCAGTGTAGATAACATCAAGCAGGACACCTTCACATGTAATTTGACGTTTGGTTTTAATGCACACATACCGCCATTCTTGTATCGTTTTGCTTTACATAAAATTGTGTCGAAATGACCTGATGTCTTTCAAATAATCTCTATAATTAATTTGTTTATAATCAATTTATTTATACAAAATGCTTTACTATCAGTCTATTTTAGGGCACTAAAAGAGCAAATGAAGTAAAATATATTTAAAAAATACTGAACGGTTGCAAATCCCGCACTTTTAAGCGCCAAGACACGGGCTCAATTCCACGGGCTTAATTTCCATCTATATGTGGTTCCAACAGAAATCATCGGGGGAGCACGGTCGCTGAATACATACCATCATCGTCTATATCGGGGTCGCAGACATCGCCATCTCCGTCACCGTCTGTGTCCTCCTGTCGGGTATTACTAAAGTACGGGCAATTGTCACACTCGTCACCCACCCCGTCATCGTCGATGTCATGCTGCTGCCAGTTGGAGATGTACTGACAGTTGTCCTGGAGGGCGACAAATTTGGTGTTTCGAGTTAGTTTTCAAAGATTCAGAAATCTCACGCCATTCTCAGTCCTGCCCATTCGTATCTCGACGGCACATTTTGGTTTTAAAAAATGGGCAAATTTTTGAGATTCTTGTAGATAAATTCTGAAACGGACCGCACAATTTCAGTCATCGTATACCGCTCTAAAAACAGATGAAGTTTCAAGAATGACCGCCAATGTTTTGAAACAATGACGGAGAGTTAGTTCTGGCAGACAGAGTTTCAATCTTTGAAACGTTGGGAACATTATGCGCGAACCGAATGCAGCATCGAACATTTAGATGACATACTCTAAACTATACACAGGAAATAAATTGAGTCATTCACTACTCAACTGCTGTCTCCAATGGGATTATAGGAATTACAGGAATTAGTGGACCATCTGCCTCGGTACTTTAGCCACTGTCGCTCCGCATTGGCCAACCGTAATGATGTCAAAGAAATTAGGTCAGAGGTGGAAAATGGGTCATTAGGAGCACCGTCCGCGAAGGCACACACACAATTTCTCACTTCAAACCTGCTAATACTATTTATTCACGTTGGAACGGATGGTTGAATCAAATTTGATGCAACATAATCCTTCGATGGCCCATCTGACCTACAGGGCGTATCTTTTTAGGGGCTTGCATGCATTCTTGCATAGGTTCAAATGAAAGACGAGTTGGCAACGACGCCGCGTTCAGGGGGACAAGGCTACTCGTTATCTGGATCTGATATGACTGATCTCGATCCAGCACTGCATATGAGACAGGGATTATAATTGCCTTCGGAAGGACGAGGATTCAGGGAACTCAAGACCAGAAATAGTTTAATCAGCGTTCTTTATAAATTTCAGATGTGATTAAGATGTGAATGATAACCGCCAAGGCCTTTGGCCCAAGAAAAAAATTATGTCAAGTGAGAATTTCGGCTACAAGTGTGACATACCAAGTATATGTTAGTTTGAGGTATTTTTGTTGGTAGTACAGTGAGACAATTCACAAAACAACATGTAAATGGAGTGTCCCTTCAAGTTGGCGACGGAAACCTCAAACGAATGCCGGATAAGGGGTGTGATGATCTTACCGCAACATCATCGACGAGATCGTCGTCATCGTCATCGTCGCAAGCGTCACCTTTACCGTCGCCATCGTTGTCCTCTTGGCCGCTGTTTGGCAGAGCAGGGCAATTATCCTGTACGAAGACATATTGGCACTGATTCAGAGAAATGTGGTCGACCTAACCGAAAGGGATGACTCGATGCAAACTTGGGAAACAGAGCTCATAAAATAGAAGCCAAATTTGCAGCCGTGTTGGTGTGATAATCCGTTGTTCACGCAAGCGCATGTTTGCGGTCGCATTGTGACTACGTAGATCCACCGAAACCATATTCATGGTGTGTTTCAACATACGCAAACAATTTAATCGAGAGCTCTTTGTTTAGTTGAGCAGTTTTATTCCTATGCACGGTAATGATACGTAAGCATACCCTAATACGTTACCTAGTATTAAGTACCTAATTACGTTTGGCCTTGCCCTCATGGAATTTCCTTTTTCAAAATACCTCCGCTTGGACTCACCTAGAAGGAACATGTTAGGTCACGGATTTGTTGGCAGGTAGGGGAGGATGTCACGGACACAGTAATTCCTGTAGTTAGTGTCCGGTCAAGGATACCGTTATGTACTATGGACAGATTCTAACACACTGTCAGCGTGGATGAAGTGTTCGATCAACCACTTCTTTAATCGATACTAACCCGTGTACAATGCAAGTAGTCTCCCTGGTCTTCACAATCTAGCTGCTCGTCCGGCCAACCATCCAGATCACTATCGTAACCGCATGCAAAACCATCACCAGCAAAGCCTGTTTTACACTGGACACATGGAAACGATTTAACAGGTAAATAATATACAATAAAAAATACAGGTTCATATTTACAAATGTGTATAACAGATATTATGATATATACTTTCTTTCCCCAATGAGTCACACATGAGAAACACGAAAATACATGTCTTGACATTAGCTAGTCCTTTGTGACACTAATAGGCATGCTTGGGATACACTTCATGGACTAGCCGTGCTGACTTACTTTGCAGCCGTACTGCGGATTCGAATAGGGTCCATAAAAGATACATCTGGCATCAAGGTGACAACTGGACGTCCCTTCGGCGCAAGGGTTGATGGGAATGCATTGCTGTAAAGAAAAGGTCAAGAAAATCTCGTCTTCAGGTTGCTCTAACAAATCATCTCAAACGAAAGCAGTAATAACTCTCGACACACTCTTCCCGGGAGGAAACTGTCTGTCTGCTTAATACCCAGGAAACTGACGTAAAATGCAAGCGCGAAGGATTTCGCCACGTGTGTGGAGACAGATAAACGCCATTCTTTGAATACTGGGGCGATTTAGTGGTGTTGTAAAAATCAAGGAGTTAGGCATGAGTGCAAGTGTTTCAGAAGAAAAAAGGTTCCAAATCTTTGTCGCAATTTAAATCGAAGAGAGTGGCCGGTATGCGGGAAAATCTTGCGGGATTTAGGCCCAGACACGATTGGAGTCTCTGAGGGGAATTCTCCATGTACGCTGCCACCACCATTTACCGATGAGTTCACGCATCGATGGTTGCGTGCAGTCATTTCGAAAATGGTCGTCGCAGCGCTTGGAATCTCGACATTTGCGTCAGACTAGAAATTCCAGCCTCCAGTGCTGCATGCTACATAACTGATTGATCGCGTGTCTGTCAGAGTTACTTAAAGTTAAAGCTAAAGTCTTGATTCTTCTTAATAAATATATAAAAAGTGACAAATCAATAAAATATTCCAGAGTGTTGAAATAGGGCTTGAAATATCTCAATGAAAATGCTGATTATCTTAGATAAAGACGTATGCGTTAATGGAAACGTATACTCATTTTAATAACTAGTGGTCATCTTCACGTCTATTTATTTGCAGGGAGATTTACTTATAAAGTAAATGCTTGTACATTAGGTTAAGCTGTTTCGCCTGATTTATTAAAGCAAAAACTGCTGCTCTGACATAGTTATGACCCTGCAGCTTTGAAAGTTGTTGTATTTCTGGCCAGCGGTCATCACCGGACGGTCCGGCCAATTAGCTTCATCATTTAAGGATAAGAATAAGTGGACCCATCCGGAGCCCATTCCTGGCCGGGTAAGCAAGGGTGGGGTAATTGCGGTGCCCCCACCAAAAAAAAGGTAGCAGAACGGATACGTGAGAGGGGCTTAGCCAACAACACGTGAGTTGCGGAGAAAACCCGGAGTGCGTCAGTGCGGTGTGTGACAGCACATCGATCACACACGATAACCTGCCCTAGGGAACCGCCCGGTACCGACTGGTGTCGAGGTACTGCATTTTCTGGTCACTGAGCAGGTTGTCTGAACAATTAGGATCCCAGGACGGTGTGTAAAAGATTTGTTGGTTTACCGGTTTCGAGGTATAAATATAGCAGGCTGCAAATCTAGAGTTCCTATACGCCTTGTATTTATTAAGCTCTGCCTGACTTCGAGGAAATGTTCGGCGAACATCACGCGGTGATGATAATTGCTACATACGTAAGAGTCTCGTTTGAAACCCGCTGAGAGTGAGCATCCCAAGGCTTACTTGTTTGTATCTCCTGGCGTGATAGACTCCCATCCCTGAGGGCTGGTTGCCTCTGTAACCGATGGGGCATTTGCGGCAGGTGTAGCCCGGTACGAGGTTGATGCAGCGGTGCTCACCGTGGAAGTTGAAGCAGGCATCGGACACTAGAAGACACTAAAACAAAGAAAAGCGACATACCAACGAGTCCTTTTCCTATGAAGTGGGAAGCGGGCTGATTTAAAATAATGCCTCCGCACGAAACAAAAATCCTTTTCTGGAGAGGTGTATAAAATGCACCAGAAGTTCAAACATAAATCTTGTCGGAAAGCAGATTGACCGCTTAAGAATGAAACGGCGTATCGAAAAATGCCGTTTCTTCTTTCAGATTAACATCAAAATCGGAAGGGAAAACTAAACCCCCAACCTGTCGTGTAAAACCGTCTTTATGAGGAAAAGCATATGTCTACACTTCGTTGATGGCTACTTAAAATCAATGGTACCTCGTTGATGTCTTGGCAAACGATACCGTTGCCAGTGTAGCCGACAGGGCAGTCCTTACATTCGTACCGACCATCGGCGAAACTGACGCACTCAACGCCGTCAAAACACGGACTGGATAGGCAAGCATCTTTAATATAACCGAATCGTATAAAACATCAAACAATTAGAAAAAAGCCAGAAAATGAAAACCACAGAGAAAGACTGGTTAGTAAGCGTATAATACCTGATATATCCCCTAATTTTTGACCAGGGGGGTTACCAATATAACCATTCCCCCACTTTTCAAGTCACTGGTTTTATGCGCACCCAGCTTTGTCCCTGCACTCCATCAGGAAGCCCTTGGGCCCCCCCAACTGAAGTGGGACTTTGGACCGTGTGTCATGTCATGCTCTTCATAAGGAACTTTCCGAGATCACCCCCGCATGTGACAAGAAATCTCCGCCCATGTATGTAACTGTGACTGACATGTAATATTCCGTTTTATAGAGATGATACACGAAATTAATTGAGCGTATAAAACAGGAAATAGGTTAACCACCTCGGCCTTTAAGAAAATGCTGTCATTTCAAACTCGATCTGTCGATTAGACTCAAACGTAAACGAAAAATACGCATGTATCTACAAAAAAAGCTCACCAATCGGACATGGCCATTCGTTGCACATGCGCCGGTCGGTGTTGGAGCCAATACACTCTTGGCCGCCATGGGCTGGTGCCGGACTGTCGCAGAAGCGATACCGCTCCTGCCAGCCGCCGTCGCACGTCTTGGTACAAGGGGTGAATTCGGAGAATTGGCCCCACTGCCCGTCAACTGAACAAGAAAAGGAAATGTGTAAAGGAGTGAGTATTACTAGAGACTTCACCGCAGGGAGGAATTCACTCAAAGGAACAGAAACTAACTAAACAAAGAGGAACAAAAACGAAAATAAACGGTGTCACTAATCTTGCGTCAATTGGTATTAGTGAGAATTTGCATATGGTGTAAAACCAACCAGCTTTGATTTCAGTCTCTCGTTTTTAAAGCCACGTTGCACGATGGAAACAAAGTTCTGAAATTCGAGATTACTGAAGAAAAGGAAAATCAAGCCACGATGCAGCTATAGTTTGAAAACAATAGGGCTTTTAAGTTTAAAGAGGAAACCAAATTCCGAAATCTGAACCCCTCTGAAAATCACGTGATTAATATACTGGACAAAAGTTCCTACAAATAAACCATATGGTTAGTTTAGCATCCCTTTCAAACCAAACCTACCGGGACACGGATCTCTGACGCACGGTCTTTCCTCCCGACCAGCTCCTTCTTCCTCTCCCTTGCACCGTCGCCCTCCGTTCTTAGGCCTGGGGGAATTGCAGGACCGCATCCTGCTCTCCGTGCCGTTACCGCACGTCACCCCGCAAGACCACGGGGTGAAGTTGCTCCAGCCGCCGTCGACAACCTCTGTCGGGGGATGTAGCACATCAAAATCGATGGGAATGCTGAATTACAGCGACCCACTGAACCCCACCCCGTAAAGTTCTGACCAATCACAGTCATGACTGTGTATAACCAAAAATCTCAAGTCTAAAGGCGTCTTTCCACGTGAACACTTGCGCCAAGCGTTGGGTATCCGTCAAAATCGCTCCCGGGTGATTTTGATGGCTGATCGCAACGCACACGCATGTTATGTTAATGGAGACGATTTTTGTGTCCGTGAAAGAAAAACGCATGCACGCATTGTGTACGCAACGCACTCAAAAACGTGCAGATGGAAAGGCGCCTTAATATTGCGTGCACCCATCTATGACGCGCGTCTACAGAACGCAACGTGGTACCACCAATGGGTGCGTTCGATTAGCTTCCCTGAACACACCAGTGTTACACTTAAGGGAAGCCTCAAAATGAGGCTTATCGAACGCTGCAGTGTGTTTTCCAAGGCATTCTGGGAAAAAGTCAAGTCCCCGCCTCGTTCCATCATGTATGTCCATGCTCGAACAATCCATCCGTGACGTCATTACACTCGGGCAACCTCCAGCGACCTGCTCGCCAGCTGGGGTAGCGGTGGCTGACACCAGGGCAGGCACGAACATCACGTGATGGCTAAACGAACGCTCACGTGTAAGTTTGACTTACACGTGTAAGCTAATCGAACGCACCCAAAGTAACAAAACCGTATCACGCATCCAATCATGTTGACCCAAGAAAACAGTATTCAAACAAATCTGAATCAAAAAATCTAGACCTTTTAAGCGTCGAAGTTCTCCCACGTTTTCCCTATTAACCGAACGAAAATTCCAAGTCAAATTACCCACAAGGTTTTATTTCATTAATAGTCTAAACAGAATGCATTTATAGCAATGAACTTGGAATTTGAGAAGAAAATACTGGCAAAGTTTAAGCCTGCATTCAAACTATGAAATCAAGCAAGCAGTTGCGGAGTTTTGCTGAAAAACGAAAAAAAAGTGAATTTACCAATGCAAGGATCGAGGTAGCAGACGCGGGTTTCAACATCGTTCCCGTTGCACTCAAACTGAGTCCGGTCGCACGACCTCCCACGTTGTTGGATACCGTTGCCACACGTGACTGAGCACGATGTCCATTCTGCCCAGTCGCTCCAACCAAGGTTGTCGTCTGGTTGAGCAAATAAAGGGAACGCGGCTTTATTTCGTGTCAAACACCAGTGAGATACGTGAGATAAAAAATCACGATAATCTGTCGTTTTGTTATCAATTTTAAACGGACAAAAGTCATTTCAACTTACTGGGGCACGTTGGACAACAATCCCCTTCCATTATCACTGGGTTTGCACACTTCCCTGGCAAGCATTTGATGATGGAGCATTCCACTGTTGGCAGCTAAAATTTGGAGGGAAATACGTAATCAACGAAAGAAACATTTCTATGCACGGTGAAAAAAATACAGGGGGTAAGTTTTTTTATCATGTGTTGACGTAACCGCGCTGTAAAAAATGTCTGTTGCGTGTAAATAACAGTAGATTCTATTGTCAATTGGCATTACAAAAGTTGCTATTTTGGGACTGCACATTCTACTTTCAATATTTGTTCTCTATATAACAGGAGATTCTTATGGGAGTGTATTTAGGACAAGGCCAGAAGAAAATTAATTCGTATACACAGATAACTATTTAGTACGTCCGATAAATATTTCGTATTTGGTAGGGCCAGACGCGTACATAACGCATGTATCGCATTGTCATTCGGGGATCAGCACAGTGGAGTTCCTACCAAAGGAGCCCCTGTTGTTAGGAAATTGTACCCTCTCTTGGTTCTGCTCGGGCCCAATGAACTGAAGTTTAGTCATGCAATGCAACATGCGGATTACTAATCCATAAATACGGTTTAGTAATCCGTACGTACACGTAACAGTAATTCGTACGTACGAAATATTTTTTTTCTTACTATGTCCTAAATACACTTCCGTAAGAATCTCCTGTTAGTAATCAGAGAAAATCGACAATAGAATCTGCTGTTTTGTAACAGAATTTTTCTAACAGTGTGGAGAAAGTGAAGCTCCCAACTGTATGGATTTCTTTTTATTCTTTGGAGCAAAATACATTCCACCATTACTGGAGCTGGTCAAGGTTTGAAAATCGTTACTCATCGTACCCCGTCGGCAACTCGGCACTCGCATGATTTGCACTTGTCGACTTTGAAGACAGCCCCATCCTCGTAATACATCTTCATGTACCAGCATCCTTGCTGGGTAGGCCACTCTGGCGGCCTTTGGTTCTCCTGATAAAGTGAGGAAAAATTTACGCACAGCTGTTCATTCAGAGATAAAACAATGAGACCTTTAGCTGTGTCTGTTTGATTGAACGTAAGATTCTAACTTCTCATCACTCATTGTCTTTTTCAGGCTTATGAGCTACAATGCGTTGGGCGCTTTTAAGGCCTTCTTGGTTCCATTACCAGAAAGACTTCATAATAACTTTCATACAACTAAGCGACATTCACAAACTAAATTCAATCCACGCTACAGTAGATTCAGGTTGAGGTTACATTTATTTAGGGGTCGTATTTAACAGTTATGAACAGTCAACTCGAGAAAATGTAAAGAGACTGAAGTCTTCCAAGCGATCAACTTACAAAATGCTCCAGTTTGTTCCACATCTCGTCGTAGCCGTCACTCAGCACCTGCACCTGGTTGTTGAGATTGCTGATCTGCTCGCAGGTGTAGGCGCACTGTCCCTGCATGGTGTTCTCCGTAGGCGCGGCGTTGGGATGCACGTAGCCTGTGCTCGGCAGGTGAGGCGGGGTGTGGGGCACGGGCTGCGGCATGACGTTGCCGCCCGTGCTGGGGACTGGGTTCAGGCTGCCCACGTTGACGCCGGGCTGCACGGGGACGCCGACTTCCGGCCGGGCGTTGTTGCTGAAGCTCATGCTGTCGCTGTGGCCGCTGTTGCCGAAACTCATGCTATCGCTGTGAGCGTTACTGTTGCTGTTGCTGTTAGGCGAGCTAGGTTCTACATTGCCTTCCTGTCCAGGCATGACCGCTGAAGAACAAGACAACACATGTTAACGGCTTTCAACACAGAAGGCTGAGTATCTGACAGTCTTCCAGACTTTAAGTTACAGGGCTACGTCTCTTGTCAGCACGTGCCAAAATTCATGGCGGAGACTCAGACTTTCTCGGCATATATTCGACAACCCAATCGCAATGAAGAATACTGACGGTAAAACAGTTACTCGAGAAATAATGGTACCCTGGACAATTTGACAGAAGACTTGCCCCGTAGTACACAGAATCAATAAAGCTTTAAAAAGTTTTATAAACTCTCATAAAGCACACCTTTAATAGGCCTATTCTGGGCTATCGATTACAACCCCGTTGCAAAACAAAACACAAATTAAAAGAAAATGCAGCTTTCATGTTGTTCATGTTTATTAGCAACTGAAGTGATAACTCTGGCAACTCCCCCCCCAAAAAAATCCTTTCTTAAATCAAATTGGGTGCATCGTATAAATTATCATGACACGAAAAACATCGTATTTCTTTCTGATTATCTGAGTAGAGAAAAATGCATTGCGTTGACATCAAGAGGCCATTAAAGAAAGCGCACCTTGGAGGCCTACACAACCCGTCCTCGATGGAGCAACAACCCATCAGACAAGAATTTACACCAATCCCGACCATGGGAACCAAATAAGCTTAACGATGCACGCCAACGATGACAAGTCCGTGAGTAACGCGTTTAGGTCGGAGGGCACTTGTCTTCGTGAGGGGTTCGCATCGCCCCGCAATGTCTATAATCATTTTTAGCATAAACATATCCTGTGAGCAGTTGAAGAATTTCATGTTTTACGAGGTGGTATCGCACGGGACGCATATTTCTGTTTCAGCTCTCTCTTTTAATTGTTCTTTGAACTTGGCCGACCCAATGGGCAATGTTTCCTCCTACAAACTGAGGTTAGCAGGGCCATTTTCGATGCGCTTGCAGTCAAACGTTTCCTGGCATGACAGCCAGAACAAACCTGCGTCATGTTAACATTTATGTGGCGAGGTTTAAGGGTTAATGTAGGCTAAGCCTCAGATTGTCGTTAACCCATGGCGCGTGTCAAAGATCAACAACCCGAACGTCTTGCTCCCACGCACAGACGCGTTTCAATGGTCGCTATTTGCTTTTGTAAGTTGGCTTTTTGTTCAACTGAAACTCAACTCTCGGCTTTTGCACTAGCAGAGCGTTAATTCGTATTACCAAATTTTAAAATTTTCGTGAATCATGGCAATAATAGGATTCCGCTCCATCGTGAAATAAGATACTGTATTCATGGGCAGACTGCTCAAGGTCTCTAGAATTTTCAACCCAGGCTGCACTTTGAATCCTGTAGTTAGTGTTGAATTTCCATACAATTACAGATCATAACCGGTGCTCAAGCGTGCACAGTGCACGACGGGATCAGGTCTTAACTCCCGTTCCTAAAATGAGGTCCATCGCCAGCAGTGCCCAGATGATCGCGGCAGTTGTCCACTTATACAACCCGTATCGAATTAGACGAACTCCGTCCCTGTACTGAAACTATTTAACAATGCGGTGAATTTCGCGAATACCTTCGCAGTGTGGGTCGCAACGGTGAGCCCACCATAACCAAATTGAGTTTGAGAGGGGCTGGTTATTTTGAAATCAAATATCCTCTCCTTAACAGAAATCCTCGGACAACGAGTGCTTTGCAAGCGTGCATGCAATAAGGCTGCGAATGACTTCTCTAAAAAAAAATTTTTTTTAAAGGCTTTATCATGATGTGGCGTGATGTGTTGACGTGCTCGGTTGGTCTCTACGTGCGACATGTAATGAGATGCCTTAGCCCCTTACCGTCACTGCTTAGGCTTAGGTGGCTGGGCTCCGAGTCTCCCATCGGCAGGGGGAAGCTACTCCCGAAGCTGATCTGGGAGGAGGAGAAGACTGGCTCGATCTCACAGCCCTGGCTGATCAGCACTTCCGTGGTGCTGGTCTGGAAAGCGAACTTGACGGTGGCCAGGGTCCCCTATACAGCGCACGGAGGAAAAAAAATCTTTTTTTTAGTAAACAGAACAGTGTGTGTGTATCTGGACCCGCAAGTTGGCACGGCTGGGTTGAACGCAGCACATGACACACTGTTCTTAGCGAAGGACTAGAGAGCCATGGTAAGCATGGATTGGTGTTGGGGCGAGGCACAAGCGAACGGTTCTTATGCTGGACCATCGAACGCGCATGCAGCCAAGTGATCACAGCTTTGCATGCCCACAAAATACTCACGGGAACTCAAAATGATCTGAACTCAGAGGCGATTTTGGCAATAGGAATGCAAATATTTGGCAAGGCCGTCTCTTCGTTATCAAGTTGACTGTGTGCCAGATCGGCCTGGATTGAGGCAAAGGGGGATGCGCTCACGACTGAAACATTGTGGTGGTTTTCAAGCAACGAAAGTCCAACCCGCACGGCAAGCGAGAGAGTCAGTCGGTCCCTCGTCGCTCCTCTTCGGACTGTTTCGAAACTAAGGCATTGATGGACTGGGTTCGGGGGTATTTAGACAAAAAAAATGAAACGTCAAATAAAGAATAACGACAATCAGGGAAGCAGGCTTAGAGCTAGACAATAGGGTCTACTCTTTTCACGTCACAGCTGTGGTTTTCCTACAAGTGGCTGCTAAAGTAAGGCCGGCCTTCGGAACAAATGTGCCCCAAATGCAAAGAGTAATAAAAGAGTTAAAGATCAAAACCCGATGCAGTTATCAAAATACATGTACCAGAAAATAATACACGTACTAATAGTAATAGAGGAAAATGCAATCATCTTTAAAATTAATGAGAGAAACATACACTTTGAACGAATTTGATGTAAAAATCGAAAAGCAACCAATAGGCGATTTTTTGGCAAATTTTGGCTGCCCATACAAATTGTAGGCAAAATGAGAGTGATATGTAATAGTTCCCGTTTCAGTTTCCTGTGTGCGGTGTTGGATGTTTTTTACTACAAAATCACACATTAACCCTGACAATATTCAGTCTAACATGCGAAAGATTGAGCATTGTTAAGGTTAATCTAAAGAAAAATATTGAAAATCAAACGGCACAAAAATTGACGATTAAACTGAGATCATCAAAATAACGTTGCTTTGCGCGTAAAATGCAGCACAATGAAGTGAATGGTATAAGAAGTATCCCCATACCAAGGCAGTATGTTGTGGTTTTGTTTCAATACAGCAACTCGGGCTATTTGCGCCGATAACTATACGTTTATTCGTAACGTTTATTAATTAGCATCACATTACGGAGTTAGGAAGACGGTCCAGTTTGGGGGGCAAGAGGAAACCGGAGCACCCGGAGAAAACCTGTGAGAACGAGTATGGACTGGAAACCAAACCCGGACCTCATCGGTGGCAAAGCGAGGAAAGAACCCGCGCGAATAATATGCTGCTATTGCTGTTTTCTTTTAATGTCGCCATCTGCAACTGACGCTATTTGCGCCAATAACTACACGTTTATTCGTAGCCTTTATTATTTATTATTAATCAGCATCGCATTACGGAGTGAGGAAAAAGGTCCAGTTTTGGAGGCAGGAGGAAACCGGAGTACCCAGAGCAAACCTGCGAGAGCGAGTATGAACTGGAAATCAAATGCACTTAAAGCCTGTGCCAAGCCGGTACTCGAACCCGGGCTTCATAGGTGCAAAGTGGGGAAAGAACCGCTACGCACCCCCCCCCCCTCCGCAGTATAAACTGACCAGACGTTTTTATGTTCTCTCTTCAACAACGTAAACAATAAGGCAATCCCAGCATAAACCACTGACCTGTCACCATAGCAAGAACATTAAATATAACTCCCCCCTCCAATAGCCACCGGAACTTCAAAGGGAAAAAAATAGCATAATGCTCAACATTTGGTAGTCCAGATTTCTGAATGTGGCTCTCAGTAAAGGACAAGCAACAGCCTCAAAAGACCTCCCTGTATCATGTACATGTACACACGGCCCGGGACAGTTGCAAAGGGCTGGAACCAAACCGCATTGGTCGTGACGCGTCGCTCCGGATCGCTCAACGCTTGGATAACGAACCTTAAGGTATGGCAATCATTCACTTTTTCATTGGCAGATCCGTCAACTTCCGATTACAAAGTTCAAATAAAAACCAGGACCATATCCTCTTTGGGAGATGCAAGCGGTTGACTGATGTCACACCATTTATTACATCAAATTGGGAATTTCTCTGTTGGGATAAGGTACTCTGAAATAATTGAATGACGCCAGGAGTCTTGACTCTTCGCTCGGCTGGCGATGAAATCAGGCGTGTTTGAATCTTAGCAGGTACAGCACGATGGTTTGTCAAACGAAGAACTACATTAGAATGGTTAGACCATGGGATGCAAACCGCCCGCAGTACGTCAGCACTCTAATTAAACTACTTGTAAACTGACATCCAATTACTCAGTGGAGTGAAATGCAAATTTGAAGTGGAACCAAGAATTACATCCAATGCGTTTGACACTAACTATGTAAAATATTTTAGAAAATATGTCGGCCTAACTTAGCACATATCATGGTGAGAAAGGCAAATTAATCAATGTCGTCTGCACTGTCCAATTTTAAATTCACTTCACTCTTGCGTAGAAGTATTAACACTCGCCCGTGTTACATACTATGTTTCTGTTTCACAATTTGCATCAAATCAATAAAAATCGATAAACTGTTCTCAATTCAAATCAGTCAACAGAGGGCGACCTCATCATTGGCCCACTGGAAAAGATGAAACAAGCGTGCATGTGAAGCCTTACAGCTTTAAACTTATGAAATTAGCGGTGGGCACACTCACCTTGAAATCCATCACGTTGTTTCTGCCCGGAAGTCCTTTGGCAAGTCGAAGTTTCATATTATCTGGTTCCATGTTCATGTAAAACGACGAGGGAAGGATCTTCAGTCCGATCAACTGACAGTCCATATAGAGAGTCATCAGATTTCCGCGCACATCCAACACGAAGGTGTGCAGATCAACGTCGTCTTTGCCGATGTTGAGAGGGGAAAATTCCAGCTCACGCTCCTCTGGCTCGCCCGAGCCGAACTCGGAGAACTGCACCACTGCGTCGTCGTTCCGTCGGTCTATGTGAAACCCGAAGGCGCGGACTCGTCCGTCGGTGCGGTCGATGGAGACTAGTGTCCCGCGGTTTTTCGGGTCCTGGGAGGCGACTGCGATCAGGATGAAGCCTTCGTCTTCTTTCATGGAGTTCAACAGGTGCTCCAGAGTGCTCTGGTCGGTGCCTAGGTCGCGATCCTTAGGCCGCACCTTGAAGGCACGTGCTCCCTCCGGTGTTTTCGTTTCCCTTACTCCCGGTGTCCTGGCCGAAATTCCAGACTCAAGAATTACGTCTACCTCATCGTATGCTGCAAACATTTCAAGAGGGAAACAACATTCACATCAGAGGGGAAAAACGGTATGCAATGTAGTACTTGTATAATCACTTTAAATTCGCCTCGGGTGCTATAAAATAACAAGTATCCATGTACTTGAGACAGTATTACTACAATTTTCACCCGGAGCAAAATCGTAAGAATCCTTTTCTTATTTGATACCACAGGTTTCGTAGAACTCTGTTCATGAGGAGACCAGTATTTTTCCAACAACGGCATCATGATCAAGTCTCTCAAGGGAGAGATGTTAACGCCCCACAAATTCTCTGCCTACTCATGAACGGATGGAGAGACGTTAGTGCCCCGCTAGTTCTTTGCCTATTATCGTTCGCCACGTGACGTTTGCGGAGACACTTTCCATCGATTTAATGTCATGATATAGCCCATTCCTGCACATTATTTCCGTGTGCAAAAGGGGCAGAGACAAACACACCTCTGACGTTCCTTGACTTAATAAGACTTATAACAAAGGACGAATAGAGATACTGATATTGTTGCACCCCCATTGTTGCTTGGAGGAAACTAATTTGAGAATGCGGTGTAATGCTATAAGCGTGCAGACTGGCTATTAACTGGCAAAGGCGCAAAAAAGTGGGGCGTTAATTTGCAGCTGAAAAATTTATACCTTAATTGCACGGCTATAGAGCACGCGGCCAAAGGAAGAATGTCATGCTACGCGAGACCATATTCAGAAAATGTAAAAGTAGGCGTACCAGAGATGGTTTTTTGTAAAAGAAAGTTTCCAACATTCAAAATTATTGAAATGGCACACCACGCATAACAGTTAGGCCCTAACACAAATATGAAAATAACAACTTAACTTAATGTAATCAGGATGTTTACAAGAAAAACCCTAGTGTCAGACAGACAGCATCATATGGCAAGCACCGCCTAGGCGCTCCATTGGCCTATTCCAAACTATCTTTCAGTGTTATGCCATCATGAGCCGTCATAAGCCGAGCGGACCCATTTGAATTGCCTTCAATACAGCCCCATCTGGACATGAACGAAAGACTGACATTTCAAACGAGCCCACCCCAATTTGTATACAATTTGTTATGATAGTGTAAATAATAACAAGGTTGACTGAATTAAAATAGCCTGTCAAACCGGCAGACTAAATCATTCATTAATGGCCTTGCTTGTCATTGACGCATATTACTTCGGTCAGTTTCCCGTGAAGGATTGCCAAGCTACAACTGTTCAAGTCAGAGTGAAAATACTTCCAGTAAAAGCCAAATACACAATAAGAAGTCGTAAATTCATCGCACTCAAACATCAGAGATCAACTTAGAATGATTATCGAACAGATTAACTGCAATCTGCAAACTTTATCCATTTTTGTAAAATCATAATCACTCCAGTAAATGACACCCCCTTAGCCATGTATGACGATCAGACAACTTAAAGCAGGCAAGGTACAATTTGCATACAAATTAAAGGTGAACTGAACATCGCATTAATTATAAACTGGTCTCTCTTGGAAGAGATGAATTTCTTAAATAGTTCACTGTTTCACCATGACATGTTTAATCAAGAAAATGGAACACTGATACGTATCAAAGATACGTCAAAAAGAGAGGCTCTCTTTCTCGCGTATAGCTAGAGTTGAGGAGTATTTGACGAATTAGCCTTTAGTCTCATACGTTCAACATACGCTCCATGATACAGCGGAGCTTTGATCCATTCGCTGATAATCTACGTTGGTCAAAATCGAGAAGAGAATGAGATGGAAGGTTCATCTTAAGTTACAGGCAAAAAATATCCCAAGGTCTCCAATAGGAGCCACATATAAAAAAAGCCGTGCGGTGAAGATACGCAAAAGAAGGGAATGAATTTATGTAACCTCTGTAACGCTTCCCTAAGTGAAGTTTTCTGGCATCGTAAAAATCAAGTTTATGGAGAAACGCTTCCAGTTTCAAAGTATGCCTCTTCCGTTAGGCGATGGATGGGCCATGTAAGACCACTGCAGATATTATCAGATTCCATTACTTTGGAAGATAAGTTAATTGCTCAGTTGATGTTCCAGGTTTCACAGTTTACTTACCCGTTGTTAACTTGCAGTGGAGTGCACAGCACAGCAACCCGATGGCCAAAATGTGATGCATTGCCCTGGCCATGTTGGCCTGCGTTGTAAACTGCGACACGCTGTGTTAGAAAAAAAGCGGGGTATCCCTCCTATCAATCCTGTGAACAAAGGGGAACAAAGGGACTGTTACTCGTTACACTCTGCTGTATTGACTTACTCTAAAACAACTTTCTTTGAACGTTTGGTACCCCTGTGAAGTTGTGAGAAATGGTATATAAATAGTACAGATAGCTGTCGAAGCCAGTAAATTACTGACCAATCTTTAAAGTGAATTTATGATATTGCACTATGGGACCAAAACCGAATGAACTCGACATCAACCCTGAAAAAAAAGGAAACCTGGACACTTACCGTTGGAGCCAACGGCTCCCCTAATTTGAGGTCTAACTATATTCCAAGGAAAATTGCCAAAAGTAGGCAGAGTAAGCAAGTATGATCCCAACAGTGGATGGCAACCAGTGACAATCCTTCGAATTCGCTCAAGGCTATGCGCGTATTCCTTTCAAGTTCCACCAAAAACGTAAAGATCCCTCAGAAGGAGAGCCTGGTCTTGGAACGAGTAATCGAGGCGGCAGAGGACGCGAGCGCCAGTTTTGTGCCTTGCTGATGTGACGCTGGATGCTTTTGCCTCTCTGGGCCAACGGGCCGATCTTTTTATAACAATTAGCGAATTCCGCTGTTTTCTGTGTGCCAATCGACGGACGGGTACCCGGAAGACGCGTTCACTCAATTTGGGCCTCGACTACTCGCTGGCCACCTGCAACGACTACGACGGGAGTACAGTACGTGAGATTCTAATTTCAATGCGCAGAGCCGTCGCGTTTTTATTAGATCCAAACGGAGAACTGGGGAGTAGGTCGAGTCGAGTGGAGTGCACCGGCAACAGCTTCCTGTAGCCTTTCAGGCCTGTGCAGCCAGTCGGGCCTCCAGGGATTGGTATGTCTGCCCAATCACGATGCACGTGCAGCCCAGTCGGAACGCCCCCATTTTGTCAAAAGACCAATGGCTGTCGAGCTAGCGACCTGTACGTGGTCAACAAGCCACCAACCCCAACCGCGCAAAACAGGGTCTTCCAAATACGGCGGGCGCAGCAGAAAAAAACACCTTCTTAACTGCGTGTGCATTATGCTTATGAGACCACCGCCGAGCGAGTTGCTGGTTGCTATGTTGGCAGGCAACAGCACCGCCAAGGTATGTCCGTGCACGCCAAAAGTTACAAATTTTCGAGATGTTGTTTGAGAGACTCCCCCCCCCGAGTTTCTTCTGCCCTGGGTCAAGTTCACTACCGAACGGAGGACACGGCGCGTCGCACTGGGGACTGAATGAACACTCCCTTGGGTTTCGCCGCTTCTCCACAAACAATTCGCCCTTTTTTCGCCCACCAGACAATCTCGATCAACAGCGACTGTTGCACATCCTACGAAACTTATCACACCTACAGTCCTGTCCAAACAAGGAGAGCTACAAATGAGACTAGTTTGTGACTCTAAACTCTCAAATTATGTCTTAAAAAAGGAAATGATACAAAATGTTCTTTTCGAAATTATTAACACATATCACAATAGGAAGCAAATGCGGAAAGCCGCGTAGGCCCACTTTCAGCCATTGCATTCATTTCTCTACAGAATTAGACCTTTCTATTTTTCAGCTGCAAAATGCCAAGAAACTTTTACAAAAACAAGTTATAAACAAAATGAAATGAATACTCACCACAAGGGAAGGTGTTTTCAAATTGTTACGAAATTGGAATGACACAATGTCTGTCAGTATATGATGGAAATGATTCGCTCAAATAAGTTACATTATCGATTTTCCTGTCACAGGAGGGCTCGTTTCAGTTTCACGATTGGCGACTTTAATCCGATCACTGTTTGTTTGGGGCATTGCGGTAATTGTGCACAACTCCTCATCAATCTAGCCATTCACAAATTTATCACAAAAGCTTGGGCGTGCTGACCTAAAAGGGAATTAATGCCTGGACTCTCTTTTTAATTCCAATACACTGACAAATATTTCCAATATTTGATGGGTGAATAACCACCATTAATAATAATAATAATAAAAAAACAGCCGACACAGCAAAAGTACCATTGATCATGATCAGTGATGATACATCCAAACTTTGTACAGGCCTTTGAAACCCCAATGTCGGACGTTGGGAACCATGCCTTCGAACGAAGTAGTCAATCATATCTCATATCGGGAAAATGGTTCAGTGCGACCCTTGTGCACTTACCGAGCCTATCATCGGCATTATTCGACCGTACCCTCCGGCCGACTTATCTGTTCATCTTCTCCTCGTTATTGACCTGACTACCATTGGGTAAACTGCTTTCACCTCTTTGGATACCGAACAAGAAACTATGGGAGATCTGCCTGCCGCAGCGACACTGCTATGGTGTCAGGAGGTGCCTCTGATGAGAAGAAACGAAGGGTCTTCGGCAAATTTGGGAGATTAAAAATTGGCTATAATAGAATGACATCGGAGATCAGGAGAATCCCTTATTGTAAATCAAGGAAAGGGTATACACAAATTGGCAGCTACTTTCTCCCTGATAAGATACACGTAAAGGGTTGTCCATTGAACTTCCTTTTAAAAAGGAGACAAAGGATAAACGCAAAAGGAACTTCCCTCGCCCAGCTGCCTACTTGCTTGGGTGGCAAAAAAGCAACCGGCTTGCCGTCTCCTCAAAACACACGTTCGAGGTTGTCTAGTAGGGCATGTTGGGTGCATCCCGTTCAACAGCCCACACATGCACAGTCTTCACCGCGGCGGGGTTCCAAAGGGTCTGGGAGCCCGGAAAAGAAACGCTGGGACGTCCGTGCTGAAAGCGGTACCGGTGACAATTTTGTGTCGGAAAAGAAAGTGCATGGAAGACCGACTTTGCCAAACAACATTCTGCCCAGTGGGGCGCCACTTACTTCCTCACATTTTTTTAAACGTATCTACATCCAAATCAAGCTTAGATGCCCTGGTCCTAGCATTAGGGCAGGCTTGTAACAATCGCACGGGCACACACAGAATCGACTTTCAAATGAAGACTTAGTTTTTATAATGGAATGTCAGTTGGAACTTAAATGATTAAAAAAAAACAGAAAAAATTGCAAAATATGACAGTAAACGACATATGTTTTGAAACAAAAACTTAAGTTGTATTAACCTTCGATGCAACTGTACAGAAAAACAACCCCAGAAAAAATCGTCTTTACCTGTTTGTAAACCACGCAACTTTAATTTAACGGCTCTTCAACTTATCAAACAAACGGAGAATTTCACAAAATATTTAGTTCCGAAGAAGAGTGTAGTTTGCAATAAAACTGTCGACGGTTGATTTTTTGACCAACCAAGGTAACTCGATGAACGGCAACTAAATTCCGTTTATGTGGTGACGTGTGCATCGATCTTATTTTACTCTGAACCCACATCAGACGGGAGATCAAAAGCTTATTTCAATGACTTTGACAGTCGTTCATCGACATCCGCACAAAAAATTCCAAATGGTTGCCTATTGTACCGTTGTTTACACCAAAAATTGCTAGGACCGAGTTGAATTTTGTACATTTTCGTAAAATTACTGCTACAGACTCTCTGGATGCTAACTCTTTCTAAACTCGTTTAGTAATTGTCTTGCGTATTAAAGGCTAAAACCGTGCAGGTGAATAGAGCAGGTTTTTCTTAGTTTGTGACAAGTTTGATACAATGTCGTCATCTGAAATGGGGCAACATCTGAAGGGACGAAATCTTTCGTCGACTGCGAGGGGGATAAAACAAACTCTCTTCTATCCCATAAAACCGTGGACAATGTCCTCCCTCTATGCACTGCATTTAAAAAACAAATTCATAGGACGCAGAGGGGGCCAAGGATAGTTCACTCTTTCCTTGCGGTAAACTTAAATATGCGGTCTGTGATCGGCAATATATGGAATAGCTCCATGGTTAAAGACAGAGCTGTACATATACATACAGAAAGAGCAGCGCCAACTTCAGAGTTTGGAACCAACATGACTGTTCATTACGTGTGCAGTACAGCATGCAGCTATTGTGTGCTAAATGACCAAGTGCACTGACGCTTAATCCACCGTTTTGGTTCCAACAATTGAGAAACTCACGGAGCAATTCTCTCTATAAACGGCTCTGGTTAAAAACAGCCATGCTTGCCTCATGATTATTAACTGAGGAAAATGGTTGCAGTGGGGCAGTGTGGGACATTTTTAATGCATGTTTGCGTGTTTAATATTTGGGTTTTTTCCCTTTTCTTTTTTTTTATTTATTCATTTTTTTTTAAATTAAATCTGTGCGTCGTGCCAAGTGGGATCAATGTGTGTCCGGCTCCGCGTGACACTGGTAAAAAATGTGACGTGTTCAACCCAAGCTACTTGGAAGTGCGGTGGTTAATGTGATCGAGGTTTCTGCCTCCCCGTTACTGTGTCCGCCCTGTAACTAAAATGTCAGGAACACTTTCTGAGGAATACTCGGTCAGATTTGAAGGCCAACATATCGATACCCGGCTACTAAGATTGGATGATTCGTTGACACCGTACAACCACTGCTGGCTGACCGTACAACCACTGCTGGCTGCAGTGTTCAAAGAAGTGAAAGTCATCGCAGGACGAGGAAGCACTAGTGTCCAGCGGGACAGGTTCGACGGCATATACACGTACTAAACGGGTTTGACCTCTGAGAGAGAGAAATGAACCTCCTTCCTTTTTTCGAACACGGCACAGGGGTTTCATCAGGCCAAAGGCAGCATCGTGACCGCTCAGCACTGGGCGTGAACGGCTGACGCGAAGGAAAGCGTGCACTTCCACACCAGTATCACATTGGCATCGCCCGCAAGACCTAGGATCAACATAAGCCCGTAAATTAGAGTTGAGGTTTAATCTCACCACGCAGGGTGACTGGGGCGTGTCGAGGAGGTTGAAACGAGACAAGGAACATCGCATAATTTTTTTTCGAAGCAATTCAACCTGTTACCCCTGTCTCGGCTTAAGGACTTCTCAGATGGTAAGCCTTTTGTCTGTGACACCACAGTGTAAGCTTTACAAGTATACGATCACAGTGAATTCGTGATTTTTTGTAACATTTAAGAAACCGATAAGAAGAGCTAACGTCAACTTTTAGAGTTGAGTTTAACATTCCGCTCATTCTTCGCCACGGTGTCAAGTCAGTCATCACTCAGGGCTAGCTGCAACATCTGTGCCCCTGAGTTAAAGTGTTGCTAAATGACCTAGAATTCGGGGGAAAAAAGAGACCAATTCATGAAGAGATTGCTCACCATGTGACACTGTACGTGCTCAACCGGCTTACACGACTCGGATCGTGATGATATTTCGGTTCTTACAGGGATGCTTACGAATAGACCCAACATTTTCTTTTCGGACCTGATTTCATTTCCAGTGCCCACAGGCACTGATTTGAAAAGCAACCAGAAAAAACACATACACAAGTTACCAGCAGTTTGAGTGATATTTGGGCCGAAAAAGCCTGACAATGTAATGTTTACACGATCGTTGTCACCAAGTTTAAAAATCGGTCATACCGTTCTTGCGAAACGTCCTTTACAGAGACGGGTCAGCCAAAAATGTTATGCTGACATTTTTGCATTGCTGGAGACCATGAATTATGAATGGTAATAACAAGAAAACACTTCGTCGGATCCACTTGAATCCCCTTACACGTTCTCATAATGAAGGTGTTTACATGCAGTGCTAAATTCCAAACTGATCAGTCTTAGGGCAGTCGAGATAACTGGGCGGGGGTAGTGCTTCCGCCTGTTAGACGCCCCCCCCCCCCATGTCCACCTTCTTTAGGCTTATCTTAACTGAGGAGCCCTAGGCCCCTCACACACAACTGTAACAAATAAGACAGGGAAAGC